GTGGTGGTGGTGGTGGTGGTGGTGGTGGTGGTGGTGGTGGTGGTGGTGGTGGTGGTGGTGGTGATTTATCAAATTCGGCCACCGTGTCTAGCTTAGCGAAACTCGAAGCAGCTTGAGCAGTGTTCCTTCAGTCACTCGCCATCCCGAGTGAGTAAGCTGGGAGACCCGGCGCCTAGCCTAAACATCTGCCAGGCCAGCAAACATCTGCCCCATCCACGTACCCCCCAAACTGTCCACGCGCCAGTCCCTTCGCGTACGCCAACTTTTCTTCGGTCGACAACATATGTGCATTTCACCAACGCACAGTCGTGGCAGTTAACTTTGTAATCGTCTGCTACGCGCTAACAACTATAATTTCGACAAGCCAGTCTCACCGTTCTACCAGAAAAAATCACCACAGTGTACGCCATATCCTTCATCAAAGTCTCTGCAGCTCAAAATAACGTTTTTTCCGATGTAGACCAAGCAAACTATTTAAGCCGTGTTTGTAGCTTTGAATTCGTTGTAATAGTGATAATTGGACAAAACAGGAATGAATACTTGATGTCGAAGTCATGTTAGTTGTAATTGAAAATGATTTAAGTATAGAAAAATTGTACTTCATTCTCCAAAGTGGTTTCGGAAGATCTCGACGGCGGTAGGCGTGCAAGTTCAAAAGGGAAAATGAGCGATGATTATTTGAAGATGGCGGTCAACACCAAAGCGACCTTGGAACGGCGGTAGGAAGCATTTGAACAAGCCACAATGTGTGAGTTGATGCATATTTATGTGGAAGCCAACGGCACAGGAGTTCAAACAGCGGAGGAGCTTTTGAACTCGTTCGATATCAAGACGACTCAGAAAACATCTTTAGTTTTTTTTGAGTGAAAAGATTCACACGTGTGACCAATCACTTGCCGCCACAGTTTTCGTGACGTGTGACAAAGCTTGCAACAACTTGGCGAAGCATTGAACAACCTCGAAGCAAAATATGACTAGAAACCAAGCAGACTCAAAAGGAGACGGACAGCCCATGTCCCTCGCAGTCGTCCGCTCACGACTGAATTAAATCTGGCGCCCCTAGTAACAAATAAGTACATACTTCACATGCTACTGGAGGTCGTGCTGACGTCAGCGTTTTAATTGGAGACCTCGGTGTGCAAATAGACCATCGAGGAAGCAGTCTGAAGTGGCGTCTCTGCCGCCACCACTGACGAACATCGGATTCGGTGAAGTGAAAGGCAACTGAAATTAACCCCGAGGAGAATTACCGAGACAATGGAACTAGCACTCGTTGATAAATAAAACAGACTCAAAAAACCAACGCAGAGACGATTCTGAGATTGATTGGGCCTCAGCGGCTGTTAGTTTGACGTAGTCAGGTCCTTTTGGTGTCTAATGCAGAAAAATTTGAGGCTAAATAAGAATTGTGGAATCATCACCGCAGTCGCGGTATCATCCAAAACAGTGAGATTTCTTGCGCATTATTCAAATGAGTGCCTTGGTGGTTCTTGATCCAGAATGTAGACAAGTCGGTTTTCTCTTCAAATGTTTCTGCAGACTCAAGTCACTTCCCCGCCAGACGTCGTCGTAAAATCATGCCCACACTATGAACCCGTTTGATATGTCGCGTGGTAGGTTTAGACAACGAGTTTAATCTAAAATCGGTTAAGCGACGATATTTAACCCTTCAACTACTCCCTCCCTTGTTTTAACAGTTGCATTTTCCATCGGCGCGGAAATCGACTGTACCCACTCTGTTTCCCATAACCGGGCTAATTCCTTTCTTGACTCAAACACTCGCCAAACAAGCATAAAGCCAACCGGTTCTGCGTCATATTTCGGTGGGCGAAATGTTCCCTCGGGAGTAGGGGAGGGGGAGGTTAGATGGCGGAATGGCAGACGGGATGGCGGTGGTGGGTTATTACACAACCCACCAAACGGATTCCACTCGGTTATGAAACAGCTGGTCTCGCATGCAGGGCGCATGTGTCACAGTTCGTGGGATCTTGATTAATGTGCTATAATTTCAGCAGCCCCTTTTTGAATGCGGCTGAGTTAACGTCATTTCACGCTCCGGAGCTGCATCATAAAACGCCAAGCCAATCGTAATTTTTCCAAATCTTACGGCGTTTTCGCTACTGCGCAATTCGACACTATCATTGTCCACGTCTCAGGCAATCTAGGAAAGTAGCGTTTCGTTGTTCTGTAAAAACCGTCGACCTTCAAAATCCAGTACCCCAAACCTCAAATATCAAATTTCCAGCATTGTTAAAGGTTACGCTCTTTCGACCTCCCGACTAGCATCATTGTTTATAAAATAATCATCATTAATTGCGTGCACCTTGAATAAAAACACAACGACATGTGGTGAAGTTAATTGTCCAAACCAGCGCCAGATGGGTTCAGAGCACAACCAAGTCAACCTCCCATAAAATTTACTTCCCACAGTCTGTGCCCACAAACAGCTCTGAAGCGCCAATCACAGCTTAGCCAAGGATAACTCATTGTGAACGAAACTCACTAAGAGTGAATTGTAGTCGCAAGGTCAAACTTAATTGAGCTGTACTCACGATTCGAGTGTCCGCACTAGGCAAACTAATTCGCCTCAAACAACTCCTAGAACCGACCTGTGACCCCAGTGATCTCAACCGCACGAAAGTACGTGGCGTTTTTAAATTTCCGATAAAATCGATTTTTTTTTCGGGTTACGTTTCAAGGCACTTAAGTCTAACTTGTTCGATTTGGGTTTTCTGGGGTTAAATGTGCAATCTACAGCAAGTGGTCTGGTTGGAGTCGGCAGATCTCTTCCCTGTTGGCATAAGATAGACGCGGTTGACGTCCTGAATTTGTTGGCAATGACGGCAGGTGTTTCCACAGACCATGAATTCTAAAATCTGGTTTACTAATCGAAATCGACACGCGACAGCGAGTAAAACCTGTTTGTCCACTAGATGACTAGGCAAATTAGAAAGCCCTGGGAACACGCGTGGTTACTCACGCCCCCCGGCCTGGATTTGGCCACTTTTGCCGAATGCAATCTGATTGGCGCAAGTCGCTCTCATAGTGAGCAACACCCTGAGAAATGAGTGCTTAGGAAAGGCGGGTATGTTTCCAAGCCAGACACCCACATCCAGACCCCCTTCTTTGTTCCTCCTTTTACCTCGAGATAGTTTCATTACTCAAATGACTACTCACGGGCGTGGTAACTACCCGAGTCAAAATGGCATTGGTGTTTAGCTGGTAGGAGAGGGGTCGACTTGCAAGTCAGGGGAATCAGCTTAGGGAGGCACGACTAAAACCCTAGCAACTCAAAACTGTCACGTACCAAGTCGGGACCTCACGCCTCAGCCTTGATGTGCCAACTATCAGTTACCAGAAGTCATTGTTCTTGAGCGTGCTACCTCTTGTGCTGGATCTGTTTATAGCGTTCTCGGTAATAACGATGGTTATGCAACAGCTGTTCCTGTGCAGCTTGCAAACTGGCTGACGGGATGATGCCATGAGTAAAAATAAACCAACGTGACCCCACTTAACCCGTGTGTTATGCTTCACTGCATTGGCTAATTATGATTCTTATGTAACACTCATTGGCTCACGTGTTTGGCCAATGAAGATAGTTCTGTGATTACAATTCGTGTATTCTCGGTGCTGGTGTGATAAAGTGACCAATACTCACAGGCCCAGTGAAATTAATTCTTGCCTTACAAAATAATCTATAAACTTAGGTAGAAACTGAATTTGGTGAGTCTCAAGTGCGCTGGATAATGGAATCACTCCAGTTTGGGTCGAATTCACGTCCGCCGTTGTTACCTTTCCTCATTTCTCATGTACTTGCCCTATCGTTACACTTCAACGCATGTGAGACCCATCCAAATGCCTTATTAGCCCCTGAAAGGATGCCGTGTAGAGCGCGTCAATTAGACTACCACCCCGCACCCCCCGGGGTCAACACGTGGCCACTTTCCTCGGCCGTTACCCCCTCCATTCCCCCTCCCTCAAGCCACTTAGACCACCCACGGCCCAGCGGGGTTCCGCGCAGTGGGACGCGGGACGCGCACACTCGGAGGGTCAAGGGGCTCATCCTTGGATTGATCGGGCAATGTAGCTAGGGCAGCGTTTGTCGGACTGGTATTTTAGACCAACCCAGACTGCTTAAATGCCGTATTTCCGCCACAATAGTTTTGGCCAGGTATGCGAGTGAATGGAAAATTGTTAGTTGGTTTTTGGACGTTGGACAACAAACTTAACACGATTGTTCTGCAAAGAGCGTTGTTTTCGCAAGATTCGGGTTTTTCACAACCAAAAATTTCCCAGGTTTTTGAGGTGCGACATCAACAATCTGACTGACTTCCAAGTTGACAACAATTTCGCAAAATGAGTTTAACAGGAATTTAGCCTAATTTCGCCTGTCGTGGTGGATTCGAGCAAATCTTTCGGTAACTCTCTAAGAAGGACATCATTTTCTAAGAGTAAATTCCTCGTCTAAGCTGAAAATCGAGGAGTATTCGGCAACGTGTCAAGGAGATGTGCGATTCTTGTACACAAAAACCATCAGAGACTCTTCTTTTTATAGAACGTCCAATTTCATTGACGTGTCTAGCAGTCATTCCGATTGTGTTCTACATGAATTTAATTTCGAGTGTATCGATTTATTAGTGCATGACCTGATTATCAACCCGTCTATACATTTTTCGACTGTCCATCGATTTCTGAATCACCGTTAGTGCCGTTTTTCAAACTTGAAGTTTTGCACCATGCTGTACCCTCATCAGCGACTTTCTGTCCGCTGAAACATAGCGAAAGATCAGCGCATTTTGTACTAAAGCAGCTTGAAACGACTCCGGCGTCCAAATTACACATTGGTCCGTGGGAAGTCGAACTGGTCTTAATTCGACGCTACGGTATGGGATTTCGCTAGACGCGCGCACTCTGCGTATGACTCCCGTGGGTGTCGGCGACGCCGTTGTTGTCGCGGCACGCGAGTGCGTACCGCTGTTGGTGTCTTGCAACGGGAGACACACACGGCCTCGCGTCTGGCCACCAGGCTCCACTTTGTCCCAGTCGATAGCATAAAAAAACCCACACCGTCTCTGCTACTGCTATGACGACGCTGATTCACCTTCCAATCACTCCGACCACGGATTTCCGAGGTGATTAGCATTTCTCACAAGTCCCCACACGCAGGTGTACCTCTGTGATTGACAAGTACCAACAGATGTAGGTCTACTAGTTATCGCTGCCTGCCCTTTTTCTAAGCAGTTGAAAATTTCCTGTGGAGGACGTCTTTATGTCCCTTAAAATCTAACTCAAGTTGTCTGGATCATTACATCGTGAACATAGAAGTGCTGATTTCTCATTTGTGGATGGTAGAAGTTGAAAATCAAACACAGGCATTAATTTTAAAGTCTGTGAATGCCTGCTCAATGGACATAAGCTCAGAAAAAAAAATTATTTTTAGCCAAGAAGACCGGTTTTTTGATTTGACATTTTTGAGGCTTCTATCTAATACTGAACTGGATTCAGTCAAAAGGCTGATACGCACGCACACGCACGCAACCACGTGGCCATGCAATCAGACGCGTGGCGAGTGAGACACGTACTGTGATTGGTTGTCACCAGGCCACGAGCTGATTGGCTACTCGATAGACCGTATAAAAGGGCTGTAAACGTCGGAAAAAATTAGCAGACTAGCGCTCTAGACGCCACACGGGGACATGTCGACAGAGTGTGAGACAGAAGAGGTCTCAGATTTGCCCACCGAAGGGACGAATAATTCCTCGCGTTGCTCCCGTCGCAGCTTTGCTGGTCCAATGAAGAAATTGATGAAGCGACTTAGCGGAATGCCACCAGAGACGGGACCCCCCAAGACTCCCAGGCTGGAGCCGGTCCCGAAGAAACGGGTGTCTTTTCAGGGCTGGAGGCATCGTCGATCGACAAACAGGGTGAAAAACGACAATTCCGCATCGCGTGTTATGCCACCGCCGACTAGTGCTGGTTTAATTCGTCAATCGCTTTTACCAAACATGCAATTACCGAGGCATTCAATTACCACGGCACCGCCTAGACGTCGTGCTCCACTGCGTGCAGCTCCTATCGCGGAACCAGAAGAAGTTAAACTGTCGAAGGAGAAAAAGCCTAGAACCATTTCATCCGCGGCTCGTCGATTTTCCGCCATTACAACGAAATCGAAAAAGTCGGGTCTTGAGCGTAAGCGCGTGACCGAGTTCATGTAAGTTGCGACACGGCGCCTAGCTATTTCTATCTGGTAGATTGATTCTTGTTCTATATGTGTGTTACGCTTGTTCGAACTTATCCAACCTCCAAATTCATTTTAGGTGTGCTCCAAGCACGAATTCTGGTCGACGTTTTTCGTGTGGCAGCGCGATGAGTGAACTCGACGACATTTCCAACGTTTCGCCTCCAAGGGAGTCCCCATTTGGGGGACCTCTCAGACGCAGCGAGACGGTGTACCTCCCGCCGACGGATATCAACGGCCGCATCCGAAATTTCTCCAACACAGCTTCCTCGTCGGGGTCAGCCGGGCTGTTCAGTAGAGACAGTCAAAGACGGACGCCAGTGTCGGTGTTCTCGGATGGCAACCGCACACCGACACCGTCGTTGCCTCCACAGCCACTGGAGTCCCAGAACACCGGTTTGTCGTACGACGAGCAAATCGCCAACGCTAAAAAGTGGTCCGAGCGTCTGCAGGCCTCTCTGAGCCGAGCCGGTCGAAGGAAAGTTATTCGGGCTGGCAAGACATTGTTCAACAAGTAAGCAGTGCATTCTTTTTTTTTCAAAAAAAAGGACCCATGAACTTACATTCGCATTGATGATTGTTCATTGCTTGAGCCGTCAACCGGATCTTTATTCGGCTCCTTGTACTCAGTGATCTGAGAGGAGCTCCATTTTTACCGATGACAACCAATGAAAAGGCAGAGAAACAGTTATGCATGAGTTTCGGTCCACGGAAGAGTCCATAATTCCTGGTTTTTTTGCCTAGGAGTCCAGCAAAGGGTATCGAGTATCTAATCAATAAAGGGATAATCTCAGACCACCCAGGGGCCATCGCAAGCCTCCTCACCACTGAAGACCTCAGCAGACAGGCTATCGGCGAGTACCTGGGGCGGCTTTCTGACCCTTTGGCTGTCAAGGTGACCAAGTACGTTGCTTAGTGATGAATCAAATTTTGTCCAACTCATTGATTCGTCGAACTAATCATGACCTTTTAATCAGGGAGTTTGTTAGTCGGCTGGATTTGCGTGGTTTGGAGGTGGATGAAGCGCTTCGGAAACTCCTGGCCTACGTTCATCCAGAGGTACGTTCCCCACGCCTTACTGCTTGGTGTTTTCCGACACAAGTCTTCGTCGCTAATTTAAAACTACTCAAATCTATTTCAGGGTGAATCGCAAAAAATTGAATTCCTCTTGCAAACCCTGAAAGACGCTTACATCGAGCAGAACCGTGAGAAGGTGGCGGTAGATTTCCGTGACCTGGAGACAATCGCAGTCCTTGCCTACTCGGTGATGATGCTCCATACAGGCTTCTACAATCCCAACGTCAGGCGACACGCCAGACCCATGACACGCGAAGAGTTCGTCTCCAACAACCGCGGAATCGATGACGAGCACGACGTCCCACTCGAGATCCTGGAAGGCATTTACAAGCGGGTAACTGCCTCGGAATTCAAGTCCCTCCCTGACTTGACTGACCGGCTGCGCGAAGTGGACCAAATCTTCACGGGTCCGTTGAAACCGGAGAAATTTGTGGAGCGCCATCGACGCTTCGTGGCGTGGACTGTGGCCTATGACGTCATCGATGTGACCGGGCGTAGACCGTTCATATCACGAACGTCCTCACAGCTTCGTGGAATTTTCATCTTCAACGACCTACTAGTGATTGCCAAACCACTTGGCTGGTTCCGGAGCAACGCGGTGGACGAGCTATTCGGCTACATGACGCCCAGTCAGTTCCCGGGTGATCTGGCCGGCGGAAGTCGTCGACTTCGGTCGCTCGACAGACTGGTAGGTCGAATGGCCAGTCCTGGACCGTCGATCACCAGTCCCCTTGGCTCGGAGTCGAACGCAGGCACTCCGGTTCCACGTCCCAAGCATGACAGATCACACAGCGATGGACTCAATGGTATTTGGTCGACGGCAGCCCCAGTCAGTCGTCTCTTCTACATCCGCCAAATCATACCCCTCCACAACGTCCAGGTGTTGGTTTTTGAGAGCGAACGTAAGTTGTACCTCCCAAACGTAAACCAGCAATGTGCACGAGTGGATCCATGTGTGAAAGTCTTCTCTTGCATCTCCTGTAGATTACAAATTTGGCGTCCAGCTGCGTGACGATAAGAGCGTGCTGATAAACCTCAACCTAGCGAACGGCCAAATTCGAAACCAATTCATCGACTGCCTGTACGGATCGATGGAAGAGACGAAGGAGCTGATTCAGATAAATGCAGAAAAACGGATTTCCCCAATCGCTTCCTCGGACATAATTAGACAGACGTATTTCTAGGGGCTATTTTTTCCCCCTGTGTGACAACAGAGTTGATTTTGTATTATTTTTGGGCAAAAAAGTGATAACAGAGTGAGAAATTGATCGATAGATTATCATTGTACATAGATCATTGACGTTCAGATATTGACATGCTTCTATTATTTTCTCTTAACAGATTGCAAGTGTAAATACGCAAGTGTCATTTGCATTATTTGTTCAAGAGACAAATTCGCGCTTAAATTTCGCATTTTGGTTTCAACTTGGGTTGTTTTGTGGAAGCTCCGGAATGCATCAGCGGAGGTGCTTTAAAAAGTTCGACAAACAGCAGTTCCGATTGTTTTGTTTGAACGCAACAACGACCTATAAATGAAATAATTTCTGAGAGATTTAAGCAGCTAGAAAGTAGCACAAACCCACGTCCCACGCTGTTTGGGAACTGCTGGACTTAATTAGCTGATACGTGATTGGTTGGTGACAAAAGTTTAATGAGTAAGCCAGTTTCGTAGAGATGGGTTCAACGATTCGTTTATGTGAACCACTGCTGTTCAGGCTCAAAAGCGAGATTGCAGAATGGTTGTTAGATGTTGCATTGAACGTGACTAGGCAGGAAAAAACACTGAAAAATAGCCAAAAGTCATTTCTTTGGTGGGTAATTCATTTAACGACAGCAGCACATAGGGGAACACTTCAAGTAGCACCCTCATGTGGATAATTATTGAGGCGATCAAGCACGTGTGGTTTACCAGACGCGGTGAGGTGCTCAGACGCACCTGTGATCAATTAAAGGCAGGTCAGTTAACCCCACCCAACCCCCCCCCTTTCTGCGGGTGCCGCTCGATTTAAGTGCTTCTGAATGATCGTGGATTCAAATCTCGTACGCACAAAATTACACTCGTTTAAGCAGCGACACAGTGATTTTCACTTCAAACCTTGGTTAACCACAGCCCTACGAAGGTGCCCTGAGAGGCGGTTGGCGAGACAACACAATTAGTCATATCGTCGTCCAGCCTAAAGACGTGAGTTTATGCCTAGAACGACTTGATTCCATCTAGCCAATCAGCGTTGTCCGAAATTTCTAATTTCGACCCACTCATCGATGAGTAATGTGAGTGGCCACGTGCAAGGGGGAAAATGGGAAGCGGAACACTGCTCACACACACGCGCGCGCGTACCTGCATTCCATTAGAGGATATCTCATTAGCTACACCCCACCCCCTCACAGTCTAAATGGAGCAGGTAGACAGAGATTAAACTAACTTGTGATAGTACACGATGTGCCTACGGGCTCTTTGTGAAGTCACTGTGCACGCCTCCTATTCGCCAGATTCTTTTAACGAAAATATCCATTTTGAATGCATATTTACCGAGTCAAGCCTTCAATTGCCGCAATAGAAATGGCTAAGGGTAGCTAACGTTTCCATGCAATATCGACGCAATGTAACTTCAGTAGCATATGTTAAAATGCGTCATATTGGAGCAGGAAATTGTTCAAACTAACAGCCCAAAAACTATTGGCTAGTGGGTTATATTAGCAATGCAATTGGTTGCTTCCCTTGTTTAACCAGACTGCCCATAACCTGATGTCGGTGATAATTGAGGCCTTTTGAATGTGGACGTTTTAGAGCCTTGCAAACGGACCAATTGCTGGTCTCACTCCACTTTTCAGTGAAGTGGGCTATAGGCATCGTCAAGAGGTTGGAAAGGTGTGACAAAACAGACGCGTACACTTCTGTAATCGCCAAATTTCATGTTTGGAATGGACGTCAATTAATGAAAGTCACCGAATTCGAGGCTGTGTTTTTAACAGCAGTTCCATGAGTGGTTGCATGTGTGTCGTATCTAGACAATTCAAGATGGCCTCATATTGTCAGAATCTCTCAAAGTTCCATGGGTGCAGACGTCCATCTGGAAGCCCAGATCACCAATCAGACCACGAAGAAACTGATATCATCAACTCCATGAGCGCTGACCCAGTCGATTTCAATTTACTTCACGAAATTTCACATTATACAACCTTCCTCGATTTGCAATTGGTAATTATTCAGTTGGGTTACAGTGACAAACTAGAACAGTCGATTTTTTAATGTATTCACGAAATCTGGTTCTGGCTTTGTGCAGTGATTAATGCCAAAGTGCGAAATGTAAATGCAAATGGTCGCAGTCGTTAGAATTGGAAGCCAATCTAAGTCATGTAGGAGCTTCGTTGGACAATCCGGCCCCTAACTCCAAAATCCACCCCTTAAGTGGCATGAGCATGATCAATAGGATGAATTAAAGAGAGAAAAATGTCGTAGACTTCAAGGCCAATCGATAGCGTTGAATTAACTCAATTGACCTTGGTAATATCAATGTTTCACGGACTAAGTTCGCGTCGGAAGTTATCCCAGAGACCGGAACTTCTCCCTGAGGTAGACTAAGTTGGATTCGGGGGGTGAGTAACTTCACAGCTGTGTCACGAATGTCTCCGGGGCCGTGCGTGGTTTGGCGAGGGATCAACTAATGGAGTTGGCGGGACGTGCCTAACAGCGGGAGGTTTGGGGGGGGGAGGGTTGAAGGAAGTTGGGGTGATATTTAGCGAGTCAGGGATAATTGCAGCCCAAACCGGGGTGCGAATGCTGTTATTTTTGGACTGGAACGCCTCGATGTCCTGCGAAACACCACATTTTAAATTAGACCAGATCGTAAATGTTGAGTGACATTCCCATTGAAATAGCTACCGGTCAACCATCGAAAACACGTCAGCAGCGTTCGTCCAGGTGTGATTGAGGTGTAATGGCGTGAAATTAGTCGATTTTCCTGCTTCAAAATATTCATTTTTTTCTCGTTTTGCCCAACTGTGTGCGCTTGTATTCGGCTCAGTGTAGATATCATTATCGAAATGTGTTGTTAAACCTGCTTCTACTACGCGTTTAGTGATGGAGTTAACGTCACGGCATTAACACTATTCAGAGGCGCGATAATCACCAATTTGTGAGTCGTGGATCAGATAGTTGTGTGCTGGATCAATGTCGCTTTCTTCAGCTGACGCATCTCCACCAAAAGATGGCGTGGATGATGTCTTTTGTGTGTTCCATCCAGCTCTCCTCTCCAGGCAGCAATAACTGAACCAATCAACCACAGTATATGGTGATCTACCAGCGAGCTGTGACATTCTGTTGCTCCAAATATAAACAAGCTTCGCGTTTTCGTCGAAGCTCAAATTTCACAGTGAAGTCTTTCTTTGAAAGACCAGTGGCTGACCAAACAGACTTACACCCCTTCCATCAGCATTCTACCCACCAGCCAACTTGTTCCAGGGCTTCATCAAGGTCATTTTCTTCAGCAGATTCGGCTATGAGAAATTGTTGAGTAATAGTAATAAAAACCCGTCAAACAGGAATGAGTTAGCTCCAGATTTCCACAGATGTTCAAATTAAACCTATGTCTGCCACTCAGATCCCAGTAACAGATTGACAAATCCACTCTGACATACTCATTCATGTACACCTCAACTAGTGAATTGTCGGTGGGGACATCATAATTTATCGAAATTCACTGATTTTAAAGCATTTTTTCAATTCAAAACCAAAGTTTTAATCGCAGAGCTATCAAAAAACTTGTTGACAGTTGGCAGGAGCTGATAAAAAATCAATCAAGACTTATTCCCCAAACTAGTACAATGCTAGTTCCAAGCACCCACATCTTCACTATTGATCAATATCGATTCACTGGTGAAGTAGCATGACTAGGATTCTAGCTAACCTTCTTGAAGCTAGTTTTAATCTGAACTAAGGTGACAGCCAGAATCCCCTGAACTCGTCACTATGTCAACTAACAGAAAGGGGTGAACTTCACACCCCCATCTGGTTTACCGCTGTTATCCCATAGACACATCGAAGTCAGTTATTCTGCAGTCAGATGGTGGTAGGTGACCTTGGAAACCGCCTGATCTCACTAAACCAAGCGTATCATGACTAGAAGCCCAGGATCGATCAGGAAAATGACCCCGAGGTGCGTATAGATTCGTGCTTGAACCCAGATTAAAAGGGACTCTTATATGTTCCAATTTCGATGCCATAGGCGCAATTTAATTGACCTACAGACAATCCTGAAGTTTTAAGTTGTAAAGCCGATACCGGCTTCGTGAAGAGCCTTCAACATCGAGCGAATGAGTAACCACTTCTAGTTTTAATGTCACAACATGTTTAATTATCACCCATTGTTAAGAGTCTTGTCGAAAGCAAACTATATGGCCGAGTAGTCTAAAATATGTGTCTAGTCCAAATTATGCTTTAAAAAATTGTTCACAAATCACACTCTAGTTGTGATTGGTCAAATACCTGCTCAAAACAGAGTGCTACTTTTAGGAAAACAGGGGAGTGTAAAGGCCTAGGTCAAAAGCACATGACACCAGAGCGATTCCGAATTTATAGGAGAAGCCATCAACCACAACGAAAACACGACCTTACGCAGGGCCAAAATCAATTCATTGTGAACTGTGCTGCCTGCTACATTCTCAAACTATCCTGTGAAAAATACATGCACTTAAGATCTGGTAATGTGAGAGTTAATTGGTCAATAAACTGTTGGGCTCTGATTGACTCACTTCACTTTCTCAACACGTAATTTATAGAAGATATGAAGTTCGCGATTTGTCACAATTTTGAAAAACCGTACGACGACAATTCTTGGGAGTTTACGGTGAAACTTCTTTTGCAAATCAACATCAAGCACAGGGTCAGACAAAGCTAATCCGCCGAAAAATCACGATGACACAAAAACTTCAACAGCCAACTTGGTGGTCTCACTAATTAACTGCAGTCACCAACAACTAAATGTAAGTGTATTTTTGGGGGTAAAAATAATTTGGACGAAATTAATGGATTGGATGCCAAATGTGGAAGTGAGCCAATGGTAGGAGGTCATTGCATTTTAGATTCGGTATGAACTTATTTACATCTTGATCAAATTATAGAAGTTGTGTGGAACTGTAATGGAAATTTTATAATGCACAGTTGTTTAGAAAGTAATGTACGTAACTCACATGCTAAACAATAAAACGATGATAAAATGGACGTTTTACAGTCATAAACAAGGAATAGAACAATAATTTGTTTCCCATAATAATTTAAAAACAAGGTATAAGGTACATTTAATTTTAGAATAAATTTACAAGTAGTCACTCAAAAGAAGGTCATGTCAAACACAAATTAATAATGCCGGTAACTTTGCTCTGGTAACTGATGCACAAACCTGAGAGTCTTTTCTCTTGTACCAGAGATAGATTACTACTATTTTAGTCGCAAAACTTTGTAGCCAGTAAAACACTTTACTTTCTACAACAGGTGACTATATTTTGCAAAAATGCATTAATGAATGGTGTTTAAATGTTTCAAAAGGGGAAAAAGAAAAATTGAGGCAAATAAAATTAAAATTTAGAGATTTCGTTTTGTGCAGCCTATTTAATTTGATATTTAAGTTCACTGTTGTCTTTAAATAAAACATTTTATCTGTAAATGTCACAAATTTTCAAAAAAATTTTGACGAATGCAACGTATCTAGTTCTATTAATGCGCCTTTAACTTTAAATGGGCATTTAAAATTTACTCCGGGTAATGCTGGTTTGCATATCTAGGTTATGAGCAGAGTAAATCGTCACAGGGTATATGCTGCTTTTTCAACTGAGTAAAAGTAGGGTTAACAAACTTGGAAGCAAAAGAATAACAGATTTGTTTGTCCATCGATTTAAAAAATTAAGAAAATTGCCTTAATAGCAAGGTGGCTTATGGAAAGGGAATCTGGATATGTCATTTTTAAAAATGATTAAATAATTTTCAATATAGTGTCAAAATTCACAGGATAAATGGTTGCGAGGTAAATAAAATACATTCTAAAAAGTGTAAAAAGTCCTGAACGCATTTCCTAAAGTTATTACCCATTTTTAATTTAATTTATTGAGTCATAGTTTGCGTCAGTATCTCTGCACTATTTGCATCATTTTGACTGATACAAATTGCCTTAATTAATTGTAACGCAATAAATTATATTATGTCTCCAAAATATGAACAACATGACCAGAAAAAATTTTTCCGCTTCTAAAACACCACAGTATGCACATTGCAAGTGACCATCAATAAATCGGTGTGACCTATCTCGAATGATACATTCAAAATCACATTTATGCTATAACAAATTTCGTCTTATCAAACAGAGAGACATGATGCATTATAAGCATGATAATTTAACTTTAGCAGTTAGGAATATAAATTTTCGTAAACCTAATTTTGCATTATTATGATTTCAGTGCATCGGCTTTTATTTTAACCTTGAGCATATGGTTTTGTTTGTTCCTAACATCAAATCTACGAGTAAACCAATTAAAATTTCCCAGATTTTATAATTAGGTTTGTACGAGGATTTTGTGGAGGTTCTTATTCGTGTAACGGCTTTTTCATATTCTTTTCATCGGTAAATTATTGTTAGCGTCTGCTACATTTTTTTGTCAATTTCATAGTCCAGCATAGTAGATTTTTTAGTTTGTTATTCATGCCATCCTGTCACCGACTTGTTCATATTTTGACACTAACTTGATTTATAATTCTCAACGTCGGTGTTTCCTATTGTTTGCTTTTTTTTTCTATAATTTTGACGTATTTTAGGATGCTGTAATGGCTAAGTAAATGTGTTTTCCATTGTCATTTCTCACATCTATTCAGATTTCCAATTTAGTTTTATGGTTTCTGCGTACAATTTTCCTCAAACTAGACCTATCAAACAAGTGTCTTATACTCTATAGTTTTCTGGAGCCCTTCTTTCACCTATTGCTGCTTTATGATTTTTACAAGTGGATGGTAGTTCTTTTTATGCTAGATTGAGTGTTTGTGTGTACTAAATGATTAGTCTGTGGTATTTTGAGACCTCTACTAACCACTGGTTATAAAACCCGTATTGACGCCGTTATAAGAAGCGAGTTTTAAACAATAGAATGCTCTCCAACCATTTTCATATAGTTATAACAGTCGAAACGTTTTCCATAAAGTCATTATCGCCTGTTTCTTCCATATCTCTTTCCGAAAACTATATCATATAGAAAATGATGCAAAATGGTATTTTAAGCTCTACTTCAGTGAGAAAATGAAACATGGTCTTACATGTATACAGACACGAATTTCGTTTTTTTTAAACATTGACTACGTTGATGTAAATGTCGTATATACTTTATCAATGCATTAGCTTTGGTATTTCATCCTATTTACCCTTGTATCAATAGGTTTGCACTGGTACCATGCAAGAACTATGTCGGTGTATGCATTTTGAAACAATTACTAATGTCTGGGAGATGCACTGACACAGTAAATCTTTGCATCACTACTTTAGTTCGCAATTTATGATGCTGAGGGATGCCGTCTGACACCAAGGTTATCAGTCCAACGAGGAGAAAAACTTCTACGAGTTTCGCCAAGTCAGTTTTCCCCGTGCCTGATACACCTCCTCAAAGTCGTCGCAAGTCTAAGCACGTTCGGTTCCCCGAGGATGACGACAAACTCACCTCGTCAATTTACGGTGCTGACGAAGCCTGGCGTGTAGGTTAGTGCTCGTTACCACTTCTCTTAACGACAAATCCAGACCCGGATACGCCCAACGACAAAGTTGTGGATGGTTATGCGGCGTTCTGTGCGCGACTTAACCGACCACCCATCTCGTCTATCATTGAACAGCTGTCAGTAAGTTTCCTTCGCCAAACTCTTCTTCAGTTGTATGTGTAGGTGGCGACCGTACACTTGGCCACAACCAAAATCCCCGCCATCATCCTGAAAGGTTAGCTTCTTAGCGCGAGCTGTTCCTTAGTTCCCTTCATTAGGCACGCAGCTGTCATTGAAAGACATCGAAGCATTGGAATATGTGTTCAAATACTGCCAAGCATATCACATGAGTTTTGAGAACACTAATATCGATGACAAGGTAAGTAGGTATTTCTCGAAATGTACGCAAGTGTTGCCCCACACTCGCTGTGCCATTAGGTTAGCGTTTTTGTTTATCTAATGGCTCGCTTCAGCTCTTTTCTTGAGAGTCAATCGTATATTCGAGAAATTTGACGGGTTATCTGGTTTGGGACCTACCAGATTGGAATTATGGAATTGTTAATCATTTTTTAGCCTAGAGAGACGTGCTTGAGGGTCAAATGATAGTTTGAGATTACTTTGAGAAATAGCCGTGCCGAGACAAGAGGTGCTGAAGACGTTCATCAATCTTGTTTGCAAGGTGTACACAAAGAAGGTTACACTATTTGCCTTTTCGTTCTATCACGGGAATGCACTGTTCTGGGCGCGTAAAATAACCAACCAACTTGCCACGGGATTGGTCATTTTTTTGTGCCCATCCGTTTTGAACCGCCCGCCATTGGTGATGATCGATTAAACAACTGGCGAACCAGTCAATTACAGCGAGCTTTTAGCTGACCATGACTCACTAAACTTCTCTTCCAGTCCCTAGCTTGCCTTCTCGATTCTTTGGACTACTTTGCCCCGTGTAGAGAACTCTGTCTGGCCAGGAATAAACACCTCACCTCGGAAGGTATCAAACTGCTGGGTAGTTTCCTCTCTAAGGTGAGTCATAAGCGCGTTATTTACCGGGCATTAGACGGTTTTGCTCTAAAATGTCAACTTGCATCCACCAATGTGCTTTTTCGAGGTACTTAGTACAAACGATTGTACTAAATGACACTTCAATGGCGTGCTTGTGTGTGTGTGTGTGATGTAGGTAAAAATTTCGTCTGCTTCACCCAGAGCATCTAACCACTAATGAGGAATTTGATTTGCTCAAATTTTCACATTAAACTACATTTACAGGAACCTCGACCAATAGGAGGTGTTTCACGACAGAACTTCACCGTTTGCATGTTTTGCACATTTTTTGACTTGCTTGATCATTTCAAGCCCTTGCAAACTATCAAATTTGTGGGCGACATATGGTCATGCGTTCACTTTTTAACTCGTTATAACCTGATCGTTTGGCCCTAATAGCGCTGCACACATCCGAGAAGGTTACGAAGATCATGGGTGGCAGAGGTATAACCATTTTGTGGATGGTTTATTTCGGCTGCTTGTGTGGTATTGCACAGGTTGCGGCCGTAATTGATCATTTTGGGAGTTCAGCCAATCATATGCGGAAGATTAACAGCCAATCAGAGGAGAAGCCCCTTGTGTGATAGAAGGCGCATCCAGTAAAGCGAACTCGGATGAACAAAGGCTATCGTACATCGCTAGGGTGCGGCGTTGTGGTTTATTCGCATTCAAGGTCGTTACTTTTGCCCGTAACAAGGAGAAGACCACTCAAATAACGGTGCCAGATCCCTTGTTTACGCTAGCACCGACCTTCCCACGCTAATGCAAGAACAAGACCAGAGCTTGTGTAGAGATCTTTAACCACGTCAGCCACGTGCCAGTGAGTTGTCAAATGGGAACACTAACTCAAGTCAAGGTTGACCTTGAGCTGATAAAAAGCGTGATAAAACACATGTTAGTGGATTCGTGTAAATAGTGCCAGAAACCAACGACGAGCAACCTTGGGGTATCGTGGACCCCCAACGGGGGGGGTTATTGAAAGACGATGGTCGATGCGAATCCAGACGATTCTCTTTAAGCCAAAATTCGCTTTTTTGGATTTCATGTAATCTTCCTCTCTCTCTCCTGTTGATTACCCTGTTAGAATCGTTCTAGCACACTCAACTGAGGACGGTTATTGCCTCATGGTGCGATTCATATCATCACAAATTGCTGCATCCCAATCGAAGTCTTTAATTAATCGAAGTTTTGAGGATCTTACGGAGGGTTTCAGCAAATTTCTTCGTTTTTACGAGTCGCCCTCTGTCGACAACTAATTTTTGGCTCGGCTGTTGTGTTTCGAGGCCTGAGTTAGGGTTTGGCGTGTTTAACTGATAGTCAAGGCACTTTAGCCTACGCAAAAGCTGCAGGAAGCGACGTAACCACACACAAGCAGGGCAGATTTTGCATCGGTTAAAAAAAGCGCCGTTTTTTTCTAATAAAAGGTGATTTGATTTTGCAAATCTGCTGAGAAATGCGGACGCGCGCACTTTCAGTGGCGCCGGTAGAAAACTGAGACCCCAGCTCACTTTGCGTGGTGCGTAAATACCGGTTTACACACACACACACGCACACACACACATACACACACACACACAGGGGGGCATTAAATGCCCGCCCGACAAACGCGATGGCCCACTTAAACAACGAAGCGGCGGGAAACGATCCAAATTCAAAATCGCCAATCACCAAATTAGCGCTGCGAAAGAAAACTATTTGATTTCAAGCGCATGCTTTTGTAAGGGTGGCTAACCCTGCGGAAAGTGAATTTCTAAGTCCTCCTTAATCTCGAGAACGCAGACACCAGTTCTCACAGTTTTGGTGTGTTTTGTTCTTCAATCTTGGTTGCACATGTGCACATCTGTTGTCAAGGTAAACGCACCCATCGCAATTATCGCCGCGCGGATACCTCGAAAGTGCGGGTGTGTTTGTTGGAGCGTGCGGCCCAGAAGACTCAGGCCTATTTGGACTCACTTCTGCGGACAAAACGCGTAGACATTCTAGAAATTACTCGTTAAACTGCCTGACAACCATTGCGTTGAATATCCATCTCGTTGAATTGAATCTGCATCGAATGGACAGCTACACAAAGGTATCTAGTAACTAGATTGGGACACTTCGACTTATTCCTGTACTGTCTTTGTACGAAGGAACTACAGGACTTAAAATTCCACGGAATGAGTCTCAAGAAATCAGCAGTTATCAAACGTCAATTGTAAGTATATTTAACGTCGCCCAGCTGAGCACAAATCGCTTGTAGTCGTTCCACTTACTGAGGGGAAAGTGTTTTAACTGTCTTGGGGAATTCGTCAAAATCTTCCGGTAACTCTGTAACTCTTGTACGCCAAACCCAACGAAGTCTCGTGTCGACGTGTGTGCCGTTTCACCAACTTCTCACGCAACATCTAAGTGCATTGGACATTCGAGCTCGAAGTAGCTCTTTTTTGATGTCGGATTAACGTGTTTCCGTGTTTTTCCGACACTCAGATTAGTCACTAATGTGCTAATTTTGCGCTCCTGTGTCCTGCACGGCACGCCTCTGCACTGACTCCAATCACACCGTTATGCTCGCAGCGTCTGCTGTTTTTCTCACAACTGCGCAACACTGTGTGTGTGTGTACAGCATTGATCACTACTCTACTTTTTTTTCATCCAGTATCCGATTCTCACGTGGCTCGACATTCGTGGAATCCCACTGCTCTACGCTGACGCCCAGGCCGTGGGCATTGGCCTGCGTGGCCAGTACAACGTGGCGCGTCCGATGGTGACGAAATTCACCAAACTGCGCACCGGTGATGAGCCACAGGACCCCGACGCACTTCGCGACATGGAGGACGCCGAGGCGTTCAAGTGGCAGCTGCAGTACTATCTGCCGAAGTCGCCCACTGACGCCGAACGAGACGCCGTGACCGCGGCTCTGCGATGCCTTCCAGTCCTCTGCCTGCGGGGTCTCCATCTCGGTGAGACGGGCATTTGTGGGGAGGCGTTGGGGGAGGTTGCCGGGGCGATACGCATCGCCGGGCACCTTCGTGACCTGCGGCTGCCGAAGAACCGTCTTGGACCACGTGATATGGAGGTTCTTACTCCCCTGCTGCGCTACTATCCCGGTTTACAGGTGCTCGATCTCAGCTACAATGACCTCGGAGTGAGTTTAAATCGCTGACCTTGGATGTTTGTTTAAAACGAGTAAAATGTGTGTATTAATAGAGCAATCAGTAAATAGTAGTTCTCAAGTAATTTAGCGTATTACTTAATTTTTACAGATTTTTTCAGCCAGATGTTTTAATATAAAAAAGAGGGAACAGCAAGCGTAATCTTCGCAACATTGTCCGCTGTTTTCAATGACCTCGCGCAGGCTTCGAAGCAGTTAAGTCATCATCGACGAATTCAGCGTTTTGAAGTGTTCGTCCACTAAGAAATCGATGTACAGGGATGCCCGGGATCTACCCATGACTGTTAGCGTTTAGGATTCTCGTCACAATCTGCCACAAGAAGTTCTTCCACTGGCTGTTGCTGGCGGGCAAGCAGTGAGAGGCATGTGTTCACAGGTTGTGTTCGGTGGACACACATGAGGGGACCCAACTTCCAAGTTGTTGAATTTTCCCACTTGGTGCTGACGCCTGGAAGTAGCTGTTTAGGTGTCTCCAAACTGAGCTGCTGCTGCTGCTGCAGGCTCTTGGTGCGTCTTCGCTGAGTCTTCATCCAGCAGAGTTTGCAATGTCGAGGCAGTTGGCGTCGCAGTTAGTCACTAAGATCGGAATCGCCACTTCTAAAACGTTCGTACCTTTGATTGCACGTTTCACCGAAGACACGACGTCGGCACCAAGAACACTACAAGTTGGTTGTCGTGCTGTGGAAGCATGTATTCTTTGATGGAATTTATGCTAATTGCAGTGTCGTCGTTGAATGTGGCGTTTGTCAGTTGGCATCGTAAAGTCAGCTACTGTGAGAGATGATGTAACTGACGTAGAATCCGTCGTTCGGTGTTGCGAAAGCTTGCGTTCGATCCTTTCAAGACGACAAAATGCTGCGAAAATGTGTCTATTTTAAATGTAATTTTATGCTCGAAGTTAAAATCTGTAAAATTAAATCACTCGTCTAGAATTATTTAAAAATGGCTGTCGAATATTTTGGCCTTGACTTTCAGTGATTGGATCTCACGGAACTTCAGAATCAAGCCACCACATTTTTGTACTAAATGGTCTTTTTACCAGCCTCTCCATTACTTACTGATTCTATAACAATCAGATCTCGCTCAACTGGAAGGGAAATTCGAAAATTGCGCTTACCAAGGTCATCAGAGGAGTAAAACAAGAAAAGCCGAGTTGAAATGGCTTGAACACACTGACTTGTTCGAGGCCAGTTAGTTACTTTTAATAATGTAGATGATGGCACTTGATCAGTCGCATTTTCCTCTAATTCATCACAGGACGAAGGCTTCAGAGTGCTCTCGAACGCCATATCACGACCCTCGTATCCAACCTCGTGCTTCGACAAGCCAGAAGTCTCCAATTCTAGCCGCCTCAGCTGCAACCTCCGTCGTCTGTACCTGGCAGCTTCTGGTTTGCGTCCGACCGGTGCAAACCACCTCGCCAACTGCCTCAACACCCTCGGCCACCTGACACACCTCGAGTTGAGCGACAACGTGGGTCTGGGTTGTCAGGGCCTCCTGGCGATGCGCTCCGGTCTCCAGGCCTTCACGCGAAAACGCCTCCTGTATCTGGGCTTGGCGCGCTGCAACCTCGCGTGCCAGGGCGCGATCGCTCTAGCCGAGGTGCTTGGCGACAGCCCTCGGGTCATTCGTCGGATCGATTTAACCGGCAACCACATCGCTGAGGCTGGACTCATGGCCATCTCCAAGTCCGTTCCGCTCTGTCCTGAGTTGGTGCAGCTGCAGGGATTGGAGGACAACCGACCAATCAAGCATTCGACGAACGGTGCGAGCGTCAACGGCCCCGCCACATCCAGATCGCATCCCTCGTCGCCCCTGTTCAACGGATTGAGCGCGCGTTTTTCTGTGAGTACGCATTCTTGCCCTTGAATGCCAACTTTCAAACTAGCGCTCCTGTGTTTGCCCTACATGTGAGCGCACATAAACAATCGCTGGGACCACGGGCGCTTAGTCAAATCAGCCAATCACTTTGCAGGTTGTCCCATCCCCTATTGGTCAACTCAAGGTCATGTCACAGATTAGCTGAATGAGCAAACAGTCAAATCCACAATTCAGTTTCCAACGTGACAACAATTGGGTTATCGTGCAGCGAATAATAATCTGCGTTTTGATTCGTGTGCCTTTGAGCAACGGGGTCACGTGGTTGGCGAATCTGTGTGAAAATTTTTACATTGCATTGATGCCGCCCCGCAAAAGGCTCTCTTTAATGCGCCAGCGCGTTTAATCCAACCGCGTAGTTCAAAGCACGCCGCATTTGTGTGGTGAAATCAGTCATATTCTTCGGTTTGCGCTAGGGCCAAAATCGCCCCCACCGTTGCATTCGTGCAGTAGCCGCTGAGTCAGATGATTTGTGAAATTTGAACGGATGGCTACGAGCCACATGATTTTGGGAGTTTTTTTGTTTAAATCAACTGTGTTGCCGATTGCGGGGGAGGGGGGCGTTAGAATTCATCGAAACATGTCCTGGTTCGACATTTGCGGATATTTTCGAGATAAGCGAGATTTATTCTTGCATTTTTCAATTCTCAGAATTTATTTGCATCGCAGAATCTCTGTAGTCACGAAGACCAAATGACTCACAGCCCAATCGGTAAAATATCTTCTGGTTTTCACGTAGGAGTCCTCCAATCTTTGACTTGTGTGCGTCTGTGAGGCAGAGGTCCTTCAGGATTGTTCAATTATCAGCGATCTTAAGCCACAATAACTCGTTTATTCCTGTCAAACTGGCTTTAATCGCCTCTGACATCGCTGAATTTGGTGTTCGTCATCAGCAGTGGGACGGGTACGTCGTAGCCACTTCAGACTGCATCTTTGACGGTCTACTCTCGCACAAGTAGACGGTTGACGTCAGGAAATTGCAAATTTTTAATTAAACACACCCTTCCACGGCATTTGAAGTATGTTCTTATCTGTTACCAGGGGCGCCAGATTAGTTAATTTGTGTGTTTTCAATCGCCGTTCCAAGGTCACTTTGGTGTCTGCCCGCATTTTCAGTGTGATCATCGTGCTCCTTCGTGTCAGTGTGCAAGTCTCTTTAGGCCATGTACTTCCACCAATCATCGCCTTTATTAAAGCATGGTTGACCGGTTTAAAATGAGTCATCAGACAGAAGGCGATAAACTCAAGGTCAAGTGTGCAGCGAATCGTGTTAATTCGCGTTCCTATTGGTCACGCTGACTTAGACGTGCGCGTGTGCTGTCCGCAGGGCCACACGGCAACACCTGGCGCAGCAAGACAGATTTTTTGCCATATCAGCGTTCATCGGTGCCTTCTCATCCATCCTCGTCTCCGATTGGCTTCCGATCTCCCGCCTACGATTGGCTGAACCCCTGACATTCGCCAAAATGGTTGTGCTAAATGTACTTTCATCTGAATAATGGTATTTCTTCATGGTGGCAAATTAACACAACGACTTACCCCTACTCCAAGCTCACAGTCAATATTTGCACAAATAAACATCAAAACGTGTTTCTGGAGTCTATTGGTTACGTAGAGTGCTGTGGAATGTTAATCAACGCGTGGAAATAACAACGCCACTATTGAAAGACATCTACTCGTCCAAAAATGACGGCAAGATGTAAATTTGTCTGTAGGGACTTGGTTTTACTCGAGGATAACTTTGCAATTTCTAGCTTGTCTTATGTGCCTTTACGACATCCTTTTCGATTAACTAAGTAGGTTGGACACGCAAATTTTGCGCTCTATACCTCTTGTATTTCTAATTCCTACGAGCAGATGGATGTACGCCGAAAATCGCGCATTCTCTCAGTGGCTGATTGGTGCTCGTGTAAGGTTAGTCTTGTGATTGCAGTGTCAAGCACTGGTGATGTTAGTGCTTGTGGTGGCGGTGGCGGTGGTGGTTAGATACTTGTCTTATTACCAGGGGCGTGCAAATATCCACCTTCTGAATAAAAAAGCGCAACACTTTTGGCTAGTTTTCGCCTAAGCCAAGCTCTTTTGAAACAATCTAATCCACCGAAACAGGTCAATAATGGAAAGGACTCGGCATCGTGTCTCGTGTTGAAGGTGATTGAGGCTGGCGAGCTAGAATCCGCTCGTAATTGGATAATTCCTTTCTGGGACGATGAGCAAATATCGATTTTTTGCATATTCCGAAAGCATTTTGATTGGTAAGTCAAACGAAGAACCAATCAGCTGGACGTTGGAGAGGCAGAAGACTAGGGAATACCAGCAGGTAATGTGCATTCCTCGGTAGCTGCACACCGACCGAGGGCACTGAAGTTACCTACCCACTACCCCATTGGCGTTCCCTCTTCCTCTAGGCGTTCAAATTCTCCCGAAATAATCCACCCTTCGCCGCGAATGGCGAAGAGTCGTCGGTTCCATCGATCTGGAGTCGCCGACGCTCATCCAGCCGCACCGTGTCTCTCTCGGAGCCCTCCCAACTCAGCCTGGACTTGCTTCGGGTCATCCACGCGCAACTCGCTGCCAACGTGGACGAACGCATCGCAGCCAGACGCAGAAGGTTAGCTAATTCAACCGCTTTACTGGCTTGTGGTTGCAGGCCTGTCGTGATCGTAATCTGCATTTAGATCCTCGAAGTCTCGACCGTCGAAAACCCTTCAGAAGGCCAAGACGTCTCTGGACAAGTCGACGGAGTTGCGGTTCTTCAGGGGCTACGTCCGATTTCCCACCGCCACCGATGCAGCCCTACGACAGTCTGACCCGCGTCACTTGTGCGGTGACACAAGCGATAGCGATGTGGACGTCGGTTCCACACCGCCTGCTCGTTCGCGACGTTCCTCGAGGATGTCCACGGCAGACGATGCTTCCTCAATGGTACTGAGATCGGATTGTCTCACCCGAATTGACTCCGATGTCGCCAAGGTCAACACTTCCGTGTTCTGATTGGCTGTTACAGCGATCGACATGACCTTGAACCGTCTCCGAGAGCGGCATTGGTTCCGACGTCGACAAGGTCAATACCGCTGTGCTCTGATTGGCTGTGCGTTCACGAATGATGGCCAGACACCACTACATTTCACTTTTTTTCCTATTTTGTCATGCTAACTTGTTATTATTGTTGCTGCGGACTTCTTCCCCTCCTTTTTCTACCCCTGAGATGCCTCTTCCCGCCTTGTTGCAGTTTTGTAGATGAAAAGAAATGCAACCCGGAGCAATTCCCTAGTGGGAACCATTAATTGCTTAGTCAATTCCCTCGACTGTAGTCGACAATCAGCGTGTTTCACGTGCACGAGTCCTCTCTGCATTGTGGCGCACTCGGAAGACATAAGTATTAACGATTCAAATCAGCTGAGAAATGACCAGATGGCCTGAATACGTGGTTGCTTGATGTAATGCTTGGCAATCCACTGATAGTTTCCAAACAGTTGAGAGAGAGGTGTGTGTGTGAATGTGCCAAACGATATTCTCTAACCGACATCAAATGTGTGGGCTTGAGTATGCAGACAGGCGTAGCTTGAATAAATCCAATTTTCCAACCAAACTAATGCATTTACTAACTCGAATATTGTGAAGCATCTTACCACTAACGCTTCCATGCCAAGTCTTGTAATTAACCGTAGTTTGCACGCGGCTAAAGACGGCTGTACGTCGGTTTGGTTGATCGCTAAAACTGGATCCACAGAGGTGACAATTCGGTGGTGCTTTTGAATCCGAAGTCAAGTGCCAAGTGTGGTTGGGCGTTTGGCTATTTCGAAATGACCTTGACTTGACCTGTAATTGGACCAGTCTTATGTGTTTCCGTGGATGGGATGGTGAGGGTTGCAGATCACTTCGCTTCGCTGACTTTGGGATTTCTGTCAGAATTTGCTTAATTAAAACACACCGTCGGTGGTGTTATTCCACAACCTTGCTCAATTGCTTCGAGTTCTTGCAGACGTGATGATTCGACGCCACAAGACTGAAGAGTTGGTTTGCGCTACTCGTTCTCTCTTTTGAAACAAATATTTTGAGGACCTAATGAATCATATGTTTATTGCTATGCAATGGATTGGATACAGGAAAGGATTATATATATTGCGCCGTAACCTTGGTTTGTTTAAATTTTACCATTACACAAATTATAAACGAGTTCCTTTAGTTTACGTAGACGTATTACTTGGTGCGCAAGATCAAACTCAATTGGCGTTATTGTAACTCGCTAAGAGACATACAAAGTTAAAACTGGTAGATGTTTAAGTGAAACAACTGACCTAATTGGCCCTACAAAAGACCAATCAAGTGTAACCGACATCGTTCATGTGAAACCGCTCAGTTTGATGGCGACTGATGCTACAATGGACTTGTGTCGAGGTTTAGGAAAACTGAGGCCAGTCTTTTAGTGTGCTGCACATAACTTGGGCTAAAATCACTTCAAGTATTTTGAATTTTCGAGATTCGCGCGCCTTTAACAACCAATCAATATTTGAGGAATCAATCTGAAAAAAAACCAGAAGGGAAGCATCTACGAATGCATCAGTCGAAAAATATCCGGCTGCGTAAATGCTGAAACACCGCTAACCACATCACAAGTGGAATCGCAGAGGGCAAAATTTTGATGTCAACAATCTCGTGAACTTTTAGATGTGCAATTTATTGCCAACCGCTTTCGTGGAAACGACCGATCAACTTATGTGGCTGTTATCAACAATTAGCGTGACTTAAATGGAAGAAAGCGCAAAAAAACACGTGGATTTGGCAACGCGGCTCCACAAAACAGATGTTTTTCCAGGCTGTGGTTAGGCAAGGACGCTGAGTTTGTAACCATTCGATTAGTGCTTACTCTAAAGTTTGTAAATTGTGTCAACATGAAGTCAAATTGGCCTCATGAAAAGGACCTGTAGTCGAATATTCACAGAAACATGGCTTGACCAAAGTGATTAAAGGTGAATTCATTTGTGTTTAATGACGTCACTTAAAGTTTTTTTTATAATCCGAAGACGTTTGAAAAAAGGGTAGAATCGCACTCAAACAGTAATGTTCCAATCGCCCAAGTAATTCAGAGCACAAAGTGTACTGTGAAATTGCTGCCTATATTTTCAAGCACAATCTTAATTATTTCATTTTTCAAGTTAACTATTAAGCGACATGCGTGGGAGTGTTAAGTCTCATCCCGCACTAGGGGATTCAAATGAGCGCGTTCATTGTGTTCGTTTAAATATCATGTAAATGGCGCGGTCGACGAGTGAGCCAATAGCACGAGAGCAAGAGGAAGATGGTGGTATATATGAATTGGTAGGTAATACCCCTGGTGGCTAGCCTACACTGCTTAATTTTTAACCGTAGAATGTTTTTCCAGATTAATAACGCGATCTTAAGCCCGACCTTGAAAACAGAGATGGAAGAGGCGGCAACAGATGCATTTTTAGGGTATTTTCTCAGTAAATCAATGCATACACCACCATTATCGTCGCGGAGGCAACAGCAAAGGCACAAAGAAAGAGGAAGACAAACTTGAGGATTAGAACTAACAGACGGAAACGGCGTTTCCTCAAAGCGAAGGCCTGTTGGATTTCAATGTGGGCGCGTGCCTCGCCACCCTGCCAGGCATCCTGCGGAGCCAGTGCTTCGGCTCCCAGACCCAACGTGGCGATTTCGTCTGGACACGGCAGGTTCTCGGGACACACCTCCACTTGTCGAGATCTGCCACCGCTGCAGGTGTTGCCGTGGAGACAACCGCGCACGCGTTCTCGATACCGAATCTTGCCGTGACCGCAAGCCGGCGAACATGCCGACCATGGCCCCCATTCAGCCCAATTGCCACGCAGATTCTCACATCGCGCTCCGTAGGCTTCCTCAGGACACAAACATATCATTTTCTGCGAAAAGCCATCAAAAATAATCGATATTTACACCAGACGCTTTAGTTGAGTAAAACAAATTCTGCAGTTTAGCGGTATTTCGAAAGTTAGCATCATTTTTTGGTTAAAAAATGTTGTTTATTTATAAAGCCTTAGCTCCAAATGCGATCTACGTGACGCGTGTTTGGGTGTGTTAGACGAAAATTCTCACCCAAGTAGCTAACTCCGGCTGCGGTTTTCCTGTTTCCTAACTCAGTCTTACTGTCTGTTAACAAAAATCACGTGACTTAATCCACTGCAAATAGCAAAATTTAAATCTCACGAGGTTAATGACACCATTTTTATTATTTGCGCAATTCAACATGAATGAGGAGCAGTACATATTGTCTGTTGAACCGGTCTTTTTCCTATTAGGGCTCGGGTATTCTACAGCGGCGACGTGTGGGGCGCAGACATATTTGACCACCCTGGCCTCAACCAATCCTCCGTCTCCCTTCGATCCATTGGTATGCGGGAAGGAAGGCCGCCAGCCAGAGAAAGACACGAATGAGGAGCAGTATATAAAGAGCGGCGTGGCCAGCGTCGTGGACTCGGATGGAAGGCACCTGACTTGTGGTTCTGGCTTGTGATTGGTCAATAATGCCTGTTCTGTTGTACCAGTTTTATGCATACTAGGGCTCGGGTATTCTACATGAGTGCCAAAATGAGGCGCCGCCATCTTGGGTCACACCATAAGCTCAGCCAATCCTTTGTTTTTGTGTATTTGAGTAGCCAATCTGAGATTGGCATGGAAGAAAAGCACTAAATAATGGCGTATTGGCGACATCTGTTCAAACAGGCTTGCTGCTAGTTGATTGGTGCTCATGATTCAGTACCGCGTTTCAGTGACCTCTGTCTGTAAGCTCAAAATTAACAGGTTCACGCGTGTACCCCGCTGTAACGTGCAGAGAAGCAGTTGCATGAAGGACATTTAACCCCAACTTAAACGTGAAGTTATCCAAAAATGAACATCTCTTCATGGTCTTACCGTACCGTCGCCGGAGGAGATGCAATCACCTCGAACACACACTTCGGACAGACATTTGTCCTTGAGAGCCAGGCAATTTTCATAATCGAGTCCGGTGTCTTTGGTCCAGGAAGGCGGACATCTGAAGTAATTGCCAAAATAAAGTCGTACTTCGGTGTCGCTGGCTTTAAATTTCATATGTGGTAACAAAATTTGGTCCGTCGCTCATCCACTTTAAATTATTTCGTCACACGTGTCAACAGCACTACATGCTTCTGAATACTGTAAATAAATATCTGTTGATACTGAAAACGCTCCTCAAAACACGATAAATCCTTTTTTACAATTCACAATTTAAAATGGCTCCACTTTTTTAAATCCGTTCAGCACACCAAATCACACACGTCGTTATCTACCGCGCACTCATTTTATTGGCTTATTGGGATTTGAATTTACCTTGCATTTGATTGGCTGCCTAATTAAGAGGGTGTTCCACGTGTCAGCTTTAAATTTTAATTGAGCCACTCATAAGGTGTAGTCACGAAGTGACTTTGGATAGTTAATCACAATGAGCATGTTCACATATTTTAAACTGATATCATAAGATTTTCAATCTCAAGAAATGGCTATCCCTGTTACCAGAAAATGAATAAAAAGGCGCATGTCCAAGGCCAGCCTATGTAACCCTTTAGCCAAGATCAGCGTTTTTGAAAATGCTAACATGCTCCTATCCTATTGCTAAACCATGACATCAAATGATGAAAATAGGTTTTAGAAGAATCGATTTGAGTTACATCAATACTTCTAATCGATTAGGAAATTGCAGGATCTTAACGGCAGTACAGTAGTAATGTTAATGGCTGAATGATTTATTAGGCCTGTTTATGATATTACGAACGCATCTGCATTATGCAAATGAGATGTGGGGACTTTGCATGGGAAATCGATAAATTATAATGCAAAAAATGCAACACTCAGCGCAACTATGCGCTCTTTTGTAATCCTGGATTTGATTGGTCGGGTCTCGTTTCCGCTCACTCGGCGGCCACTTTTGATTGGTTAATTGATTGGGTTTGCGTCATTGAACTTATTCGCTGTTGGCAATTGAGATTTATCGGTTTTAAAACACGCACTTCTCTCCTGACGTGGTCTGCTTATGAAGGTACATTTGCCAAGCAAAATCTCTAGGATTTTCATAGAATTGAGTGCATCCGACTTACTGACACACGTAGAAATCGCTTCCCATGGTCGGAATACAGAGACCACCTTGACCGGTGTTGCAAGCCATATTGCCGGCCATTTTCGCCTTGTCGGAGACTTCAATGCAGGGGTTTCGCCGGATGCTGCACGTTGGGCCCATGTAAGCCAGCTAAAATGAGAGACTAAACGCGACGTTATCACCTGGCTCAGTTCTTTGACTCAGATCTGGTTTAATCGAGCTTGCATAGCGGGAGTCCCAAGAACTACAGACGCCACCACTGGACACGTCCGACCTTCCACGACGTGGTTGCACCAGGTAGCGCGGTCATCCGATGCTCCACTCTCCAATGGAAGATCAACTTCCGAGTCATTCCACTTTCGGTTCTGCGCCGATTAACTATTACTTCACATAAAGCCAGCCAATCAACAGAATATGGTACTGCCGATAGACAAAGGCGTTAGCGCAGCCCACTCACCTTACAACTGCACTTGGCACTGCCCGTGTGCGGTAGAATATCGCAGCGTCGAGTGCCCTGCGCGCTGCAATAGGTTTCGCAGATGTCGACAGCCACGCAGGAGCCCACATCGTCAGACATTGGTGTCCGAGGACCTTCATCTGTATTGTCCTCCTCAGCCTCCTCCTCTTTACCTCCAGCATCTTCATCTGCAACGCCGCCTGAAACCCACACAAACCCAGGCAGGCACTCACACCGAAAATCACTCATGAACAGTCCCCTACCAACCAGATGGCATTGCTGCCCAACGGTGTGCGGCAGCGTGAGACAAGGCGACGTAGAACAGGGGTTAGGGCAAAACCCGGCTGGTATGTCTGTCGGCAGAGTGGACTTGTCGCGTCGCAACTCTGCACACAGGTGAAACAGGAAGGTACTGCTCAGTTCATCCAGTCTAGCCGGTGCTGCGACAGACGTCTCGTGGGGAGGTCCTGACGCACCCGGTACAGCATTGTAGAAGTTGGGCATTTGCGAAACTGCAGTCCAGAATAAGCCCCTCCATCCGCTCATTGCGAGCAAAGCAAGTGGAATGTTTTGGGTCGAACTGTCATTGAACAGGTAGTCACGGATGAGCGGGGTATCGAGTATGCTGCGTCTCGCCTTCTGGTCATCCGACATGAGGGCTTCTTTGTCGTACATAAGAAATCGAAGTGCTGAGGTATGGATGAGTTTGAGGAAGCCCTCGGGACGAACTGACTCAATCCAGATTTGTTTCAGGGATGCTGCAGGTTCGGTGTTAGCTTGCACACGCCGTAATTTGACTTTGGCGAGGTGAATTAACTTCTTCACGTACGTGGGAATGTGAAATTCAATCTTGATATTTGGCGCGTTAAGCTGCTTAGCGGGAATGTCGAAAACCAGACTGTCTGGCAGGACGTTGGTGCGTCGAAGGAAGGAGGGAAATCCGAATTCACTGGCTCTCAACACCAAGTCCATCATATCCGAGTAGGGTGTGTAGTGTGGAAAGAGAAATTGGAGCATTTCATGGCGGCTTGGAGTAAGAAATTCCAAATTTTTTGAATCCTGTTGAGTTTGACATAATAGAACTTTTGCAAAAATGCCTAAAAACAAGCACTGCAATTTGTAAATTCGCATTTTTGTTTCAATAAATCAAGCTTAAACAAATTTGTCAATACCCAATTAATCGATTTTGACGAGTTTAAACTGGCATAAATATTATTGATTGAAATTGAGAAATGTGAGTTAAACTCAACAATCTTCCTCTTTTTCAAAAGATTGAGAAGGGAAATGTTTATTAGATTGAATACAAGGAAATAAAAAATGAATAAAATTGTGGAAGTTTAAGCAAATTGGTTGGTCGGGGATTTGAGGATCCACCCACCCATCCATTATCTCCGCACTCTGCGCCGACTTGAACGAAACTACTAAAAAGCAATTTACTAGCATCTCGAACTCAAAATGACTGAAAGACCTTTTCCAGGATATAAAAAAATGTCTGCATTACGGCGAGGTTAAATGTGATTTTATATATTAGGGTGAGATAGTAAAACAGCAATCGCGCAAACGAGGCGATAATTTAAGCATTTCGCTGAACAGCCATTACGTTTGAGTTGGCAGTTTGACAACGTAACACAAATGCCGTTGCTACTGCAAACGTTAATAAGTAGCAATTATTAATGCCTTCCACAAAAATTTAAATCTTGCCAAGGGGGCAGCGTAGACCGGTATGAGAAACGACTGACGCCATTGTTGATAGCGTTCTTTCATCTTTTGTGATTCGTTTCGCCAAAATAGCAGTCCAGCGAATTAAATAGCGTTCTGCTAACGTTCCAAGCTTAGAATTTGAAGTGTGAGGAATGGTGGAACTAGTGACTTTGTCTCATTGATAGATTCGCTTCTAAATAGTCAGCTCTCTTTCCTCTACGACCCCAGTGCCTATGCAGAACCATCTAAGCATAGCCCTGAGTACTACTGTGACCTTGACCCCGTGTGCAAACAGCCCAACTGAATTGAGTCACGCTGATCTCTGTCAGGAATTCAGCATTCTCAAGACCATGCATTCTTCAAGATTTTGACAATTTTTCATGTTTCGTTGTCGTTCATGTTTACACACGCCATTTTTTGTGTTCATATCAGCCGCCCACTTCCTATTGGCTGATTCATCCTACACGCACATTCGCTCATTAGCTGAGACAAAAAAGGCCCTCTACACGCGGTCCTGTGTTAGTTCATGGTGTGATCGATGAGAAAAAATGTTTGCTTTCCGATTATTGCGTGAATTTCCTCGACATGCATGCGTGGGTGTGATGCAAGATAGCACACGCATTCGAAAATCGAATCACACGAATAGTTGACCAATCATACACCACATGGACATCCAATAAACGGCGGAGTTTGGAAATTTCAACCCGCCAATTGGACAGGGCAAAAAAATAGGCGATCTGGTTACACAGAATCTTATGTTGTCCTTGGGAACGAAGAAGGATTTGGCCTACGAATCAGACTGACAGAATCACCGCGAATTGGGCATGGTTTTTGCGTGAAAATTGATGTTAACGTTTAACGCGTGAATTGTAACCCAGAAACTATGATCGCGTGGCAAACGAGTGAACGCAACAACATTTCGGCCAACGTGGTTTGCGTGAAAACTGATAAACGAGGGGACTATCTGCAAGGCAGTGGGTCGCGTGAATAGAGCATGTCGCATGACGATTGGTCTCCTGTAGGTGGTGACAGGGAGTAATTGAACCACCTATGTGAATTAAGAAGAGTAAACAGTCGATACTCGATATTTGACCATGTTTGTTTCCTGCAACGTTCCAGTGCAATGCTCGTTATCGACGTTATGTGCGTTAGGAAGAATAAACTAGAAAAAGTGACAACGACGGACTCGAACACGGACCACGGGCAAACCTCGTCAATCACTTGGTCGATAAACATGCATGAGCCGCACGTTAAATTTTAACGATTCTCACCTGGAAATTCAACCAATCAGAATGAACTTTGACAGCCCGGTTTGTGTGACAAGACTTAACACAACAAGACGCTCCGGCATTTATTGCGTGACCAAGAGTGAGGTAGTTTACCGTGAGAGTGGGTTCCGGTAGAAAGGCTTGACGTCTGATCGCTGAACATAGCATCGGCATCACCAACTGAATTTAAGACAGTCAATTAAACTTGTGTTTACTCATGTTAGGTACGAGTGTTCGTGTCACTGTTCCCACATCTTCACATGTCCCAGGGACGCTTAACCTATCTCCCCTCGTTTCGGTCCACGCTGCAAACGAACACCCAGGCAACAATGCTCCCTTTTCGGAGGCAATCAAATAGCGCGAGCTTAGGGCCAAACACACACACACACGCCAAAGTTTGGCCACTTACAAAGCAACAGAATCAAAGCAAAAGCGTCAACGTCCGAATAACGGTAGACAAAAGGCTAGGACGAGACCGAGGAGGAAGGAATGTGCCAAGACGCAATATCACCACTTGACCCGGGGACAGTTCAGAAAGCAAACTATTAATTTACCATTTTTGGACGTTACCTTGTGAAGCTGCCTCGGAGGCACACAGGGAGGGATTAACACGCATACAGAGTTGGGGAAGGGGGTGTCAGGTGTTGGTAGCATCCGACGGTACAAAAGACGACGGATGCGGTCAAATGGGTCACCTGTAGGGAAGGGGATGGGATAAAAGGAAGATGAGGAGGGAGAGGCGCGCCTAGGTACTCTGTACAGTTAGAGACAGGTGTGGAGTGGAGAAAAACATGCTTGCGCAAAGTAAATGCACGCGACATACAAAGGCAGGCACGCATAGCAAAAAATACAAATAAGTCAGCTTGGAAGTAATGGAGCCGAGGGTGGGTTTAAGAAGCTGCCGTATTCGAATCCGACACTGCTGTGGCTGCTGTCACCTCCTTGTCGCCGCCGGGCTCGAGCTTGTCTGACTCCTGAAAACCAGAAACAAATCGATGATGAGGGCCACCGCGTCAGGCGAACTCTTTTGCTAACCAAGGCGGCAGCACAACTCACCCCCGAATCTTCAATATTTATAACGGTTTCGGGTTGCGGGGCGTCACCCTTGCCAGCTTCCTCCGTTCGAGCGCGCTTCGGTTGATTGCGGAACGAGTGAACGTCTTTGCTGCTTTTAGTGCCCCTAGGCTGCGCGTGCAGCCCGACTCCATCCTCTTCTGCCGAGTCGTAGAATTCGTTGTCGCGATGGATGGCCTTGTCCGAGGCCATGATCGAGATTCGCTTATCTGGATCCTCATTTTCTATGGCCTCCTTTTCCTGTTCGTCGAGTTCCATGGCATCCGAAGGTACATCTAAATTTGGAAGTAGTTAAGTGCAACGACCAATGCCGAATAACGCCACATCTGTTTCTAACATGTTTCATTAAGAATGCCTAATGCTAGTTTGTTTCATACTCATACAAAAATAACCCTTGCAAGGGGAAAATGTGAGCGAAATTGAGATAGGAAAGAGCGGGGAGACTGGGGGATGCAAATGACTAGAACTCACCAATCATCTGGACACTAGGCGCGTGGGGAAGCATTCGGAGGTTCTCAAAGAGCTTGTTTTTGATTCGCTCAATATACTCCGGGGTATTGAGGTTTGTCATATTACTTGGACTGATGTGAAGCTTAAAATCAGGTCCGAAGTACTCGTAGTAGTCGTTGTAAGGGAGGTCGTTGGGGACTTCAGTGTTGAGTGCAATAGACGTCTCATAGGTCCAACAACGAGCCACATTACGTATTGTATAACCACCACCTAAAGGACGCGAATGAGACCTTAAAAATACACCAGACTACCCACCTCCGAGCATAAGTAACGGAATTGGGAAGGAGCGCAGAAACTCAACACACTTCCCGTGCCCCCGGAGACTGAGATTAAAGCAACCAAGACGGTCGCCACTCAGAGAATCGGCTCCACACTGTAAAACAACAGCCCCTGGCCGGAACGTCTCCATCACCTTGGATACAACTGGTTTAAATATCTTTTCATAACACTCATCGTCCATTCCATCACGGAGGGGACAGTTGACGGCGTAGTGTTTGCCGCGACCGGCCCCGATGTCTTTGAGGTCGCCGGTACCCGGGAAGTATTCACCATACTTGTGGAAACTAACGGTCATTACTCGGTCAGTTGTATAAAAGGCCTCCTCGACGCCATCACCATGATGAATATCGATATCTACGTAGAGGACACGCTGGTGGTACTTAAGAAGCTCGAGAATGCCCATGACAATATCGTTGACATAGCAAAAACCAGAAGCCTCGGATTTTTTAGCATGATGAAGCCCACCTCCCCAGTTGATCGCGATGTCTGTTTGCTGTTTGTTGAGTTTCACTGCACCTGCTACTGAACCTCCAGCAGAGAGCTGACAGAATTCGAACAGTCCATCGAAAACCGGGCAATCTTCTCCGACATTAAATCTTTGCATCTGTTTAGTATAATCGAGCATGTTGTCGGGACGGATGCTCTGAAGGAACTTGATATATTCGTCACTGTGAAATTTAGTCATATCATCATAGCCAGCCTTTGATGGTCGGTATACTTCCATTTTTCGATAAAGACCGTAGTTTAATAGAAGATTGTGCGTCATTCGAATGCGATGTGGCTTCATTGGATGCCCCTGTCCATAGTAGTAGTTGCCGATGTCACCTAGAGACAAACATAAAAACAAAATACTGACCGCCAACAGATAAAATAGGAAAATAATCCCGCAATTTGAATTAAAAGAAATTATAGAGCACATTCTCTCGTAAAAGGTAACTCAGGAACCATTACGAGTTCACATGCAATGACAAGGCTTAACAACCCACTGTATTAGCAAGACAAAAGCTGAGCCAGGTCAGATGACTTAACAATATTAATTTTATTTGCCACCAACCAGACCTGACGAAAACGAACAACAGGCTAAGCAACAGACATGGAGATGCATTGGTGCTAAGGCTCTAGGTAACAGTGATCTCAAACAACATAAATCATCAATGGGTTGAATGGCTGTTATAAACAACATTTTGGGAAACTGCCTCACCATCATAATAGTAGCAAACTTTCTTGTGCGCAGCAGATTCCATAGCCTCAAATTATCAAAAATCAGGTTGAAACAGTAAGCAAAGCAATAAAACAAACTTAATCTTAAAAAGCAATAAATTTTTTTACAATTAAATTATATCGGAACGTAAAATAAATTTTAGTAAGCAGATTATAAGGTTTTTTATTTTTTCCGGGAAGGAAACATTGCGGGTCGCTTAAAAAAATTAGATGAATTGTTGATGCACCATCCTGAGTTAGCTTATCTTCGGCAGATTGTTAAGCAATCTGACCCCAAAGCAGAATATAGAATTCTTGCTAACATTGGCAGTGGCACCTATGGGGATGTATACAAGGTAAATACTTTTTTGACTTCATGAATTCGATTGGATTCTTCATCACTGTCCGTTCGATTAATATCGATGATTTGGTCTACGCTCAGTGCCAGTCGTTAGTCTGATTAACCCGATTTCCATCTTGTACGAGTCTACGATGATGTAGTAAAACCTCTACGCCTTTTTTAACCAACTAAATATTTTATTGTTTTTCTGGTCCTCTCAACTCTTTACTAGTTAGCGTTTTCTTTGCACATATATTGGGCTTTGAGGCGCATGCTCCTATGTGTTTACAAAAAAACATCCACAAACATGTAGGGGCCGTCTTACGTATATTCTGCACGGCCATTTAGTCATAGTATCTTCGGACGTCGCTGTTTTTACTTGCGTTAGTATATTACTGATTTTAAGTTCCGGTGTGTTGTTATTGTATTTTCTCACTAGCCTCTTCTTAATTTTGGTATAACTGCGTTAGTTTCTCTTGCCCAAATGTATTCTCTACTCTTATCAAATTGTCTACCGTTAACCACTTTGTGGGCAACTGTGTGCGCGCTTCAAAATTATTTTTCTGTCGCATATTTCCAAGGCCCAACGACGGGATGATCGTCGACTGGTCGCCATCAAAATCATGAAAATCGATCCCAAAGATGACATTAGGGCAATTTGTCAGGAAATTCACACTCTGATGGAATGCTCCCACCCCAACATCGTGCAATACTATGGCAGCTACCTTCGCCTCAATAAGTTGTGGATTTGCATGGAGTTTTGTGGCGGACAATCAATGCAGGATATATACCTATGTAAGTTATGCTGTTCTATGCTTCCTGATGGCCATTCATGTGCTACCATGTAGGTATTCTTGTGTGCCAAAAGTTGAAGTTTTCCAACATCATGAAATTTAATGAATGATGTTTTTAACCCTACTGAGGTGCTCAATCGAGTGTACACGTTAAGCACAAATTACGCGGAATTACCCCCGGAGTTAAATGACTCACTGCGTAATAATTTGACTTGATCTCAGATGGATTATTTTGAATTTTAGATACTCGCATCCCCCTGGAGGAGGACTGCATAGCTTTTGTCACACGGGAGACACTGAAAGGTCTTTGGCACATGCATGCCCGAAATCGGATACACCGAGACATTAAGGTAACGGTTCACTGAGCTTCTACCACACACAGCCATCTCGTGCTTTAAACTTTGAAGTGAGTTGTGTGTCCTCGTCTGGTCTGTCAACACATGTGCTTTAGGGGTTGCAATTTATGCCCAAAATGTGTCTGTGACACTTATTTGGCTCCTCACATGACGATGGACGCCTGCTCGCGCTTTTCGTCGGTTTCTGTGACGACAAATCCGAGTTAAAACTACGCTCTTGTGATTTTAGGGTGCAAATATCCTCTTGACAGATAATGGTGACGTTAAGATAGCGGACTTCGGCGTGGCCGCGAAGCTTAGTACCTCGGCCATCAAGCGTAGCACAGTCATCGGCACACCTTACTGGTAAGCTGACCTTTCTTTTGTCTGCTATTGCCAAATTTCGATGCATTTTACGCTTTCTGCTGTGCCTGAAATGCGGCCTTAACTCCATTACCCACTTCTGGTTGTGACAACGACCTTGTATACACAGACACACATTTGAGTCAACTAGTAGACGGCTGTGCCTCCGTCATCTCTGATCCTTTCAAAAGACCAGGGTTCTATAATTGGTGGCGCAAAGGTGAAATGAACACCTAAAATTATTTCTAGAGTGTTTTTTTTTTCTGTTAGAAAGCCATCGGGGCGTTCTTAGTGTGAAGTAGGACTCCGTGGATGTGGATATATGAGCAATCTTTGAGCTCTAGTTAATTCATTAATGTGACTCCAGCGTGAAATGAACACCTAAACTAGTATGTGTGTTTACGAAGAAGTCGTTGGGGGCGTTCTTATTGTGGAGTCGAAATGCGGGGGTGTGGATACAAGATGGAAATTCGCACTTGAATTGGGTCATCAGCATGAATCATTCAACAAGACTGTGGGCTTCTGATTTCACCCTGTACTCGGGACAACTGGCAACTCGTTGTGCCTATCTACTGAGAGCGTGTGAGTAGTTACGAAGGGGGCATGTCACGTGGTATTGTCTAGCCGTCTTCCTGAGCTACGGTTGACGCGACGCCATTGGCCTAGAGCACCCTCAGCATCCGGTCACCCCGCATTACTAGCCTCTGGCTGGTATGGAGTTCCTGCTGCTTATCCTCGCACGCATACAACGAGTAATTTTTCACTTGTCTTTTACTTCAGGATGGCTCCCGAAGTCGCGTCTGTCGAGCACCGAGGAACGGGCTACGATGGAAAGTGCGACATCTGGGCGGTGGGAATCACGGCCATCGAGTACGCCGAACTCCAGCCACCCCTATTCGACTTAGACCCTCTGATGTAAGTTTGTTCAACGCGTCTCCTTGCTCCTTAATCACTGAAATGCGAACCAAGACTTTTTCGCAATCTGGGTCCTTGTATGGGTCGTAGAAACGTCCCTGGACGTGGTGACTCCAAGAAGCTCACTGTATTTCCTCAAAGCCCTCGTGTTAAACTAACGCTGACAGTTTTGTGCGTGCATGCGTGCATGCATGCCTGTTTACTGACTGTCACTGTTTATTGTAGGGCTCTGCAATGTCTTGGTGCTAGGAATTACAAGCCGCCAAATTTGAAGGACCGGTCCAAATGGTGCGTTATTCCTTGTGGTGTGTGTGTTTGCGTGTTTGCGTCCCAAAACCAGGCAACCCGAGTGTGGACTGTGGCCTACGGACGCACAAAAGCCACCTGCTCCCCGCTCTGGGCCTGAATTTATTAATTTACTTTTTCACTTTCTGTCGTGTGTGTGTGTGTAACCTTTTCAAATGGAATTTGCAATTTGTGCGCGAGGAGGGGATTTAATCGGAACCTTACCGACCGGAGCGTAGTACAAGGTCGTGGTGCACGCCGGTGCATCAATCTCTATCGCAGTTGCTTTTTTGTAATCTCCATTATTGCCCAGAGAAGGTGAACCATAGTGACGGAATTCTTTTGCAATTTCAGGAGTCCTCGATTCCGGACTTTCATCAAACTTTGTCTGACGAAAAATGAGCGCAATCGACCCGATGCCCCGACCCTTCTGACGGTGAGTTTGCCCTACTCGTTGCTAAGTGACGTCTAGACGTAGTCCGCATTGTCCGTGGGCACTTGATTGGCGCGTTGTCCGTACCACGTTTCCTCCTAACATTCGGTTCCGTAGTTTGTCCGTCAAACCTGACGTGAAGACGTCACCACGTCGAATCCCTTCATGTGTGTGTGTGTGCCCGTTTGTTAGTACTTATACTCTCCAAACTGTTTCACGGGGCGTAAGTTTGCCGTCATCAATGAATTTACGCACATCGTTCAGTTATTTGAACTGTTAGTCTACTAAGGCGTGTTTCTGCATTGACCGGAGCAAATAGTAGTTGAATGGGGCCAAGTCTGAGTCGCACGAGCAACGTGAGGTGGTCGAGCGTCGTCATGCTGCAGCAGCAGCAGCAGCAGCAGTATGACTCGCCTGCTTCCTTGCCCAGTAAATAGCCTTTCCTGATCTCTGGCCTCTTCGCTCAGTTTGTTCGATTTTCGGCTGCAGCGTTGCACAGTCACCTTCTGACGACCAGTTAGCAGTAATAAAGTACACCCTTCGTGTCCCACTAGATACACAGGAGAGCCTTCCTCAAGTGGATGTCCTGTTTCGACGTCGATGTACAGGGTTGCCTGGGATCTACCCACGACTGTTAGCGGTTGGGATTCTCGTCAGACGTATACTTTTAATCAACCGTCACAATCTGCCACAGGAAGTTCTTCCACTGGTTGTTGCTGGCGGGCAAGCAGTGAGAGGCATGTGTTCATAGGTTGTGTTCGGTGGACACACATGAGGGGACCCAACTTCCAAGCTGTCGAATTTTCCCATTTGGTGCTAACGCCTGGAAGTAGCTGTTCGGGTGTCTCCAAACTGGGCTGCTGCTGCTGCAGGCTCTTGGTGCGTTTGCGTTGAGTCCTCATCCCGCAGAGTTAGCAATTTCGAGGCAGTTGTCGTCGCAGTTAGTCACTAAGATCGGAATAACCACTTCTAAAACGTTCGTACCTTTGATTGCACGTTTCACTGAAGACACGATGTCAGCACCACGAACACTACAAGTTGAATTCGTGTTTAATGCCGTGTCGTCGTTGAATGTGGTGTTTATGAGAGGTGACCTAACTGACGTAGAATTGTCATTCGTTGTTGTGAAGGCTTGTGTCCGGTGATTTCAAACCGACGAAATGCTGCGAAAATATTTCTATTTTAAATACATGTAATGTTGTGCTCTGTACAAACTAATTCGACCACCTTGTAATAGTAATAGTTGTCTCGGGGCAGCGAATCTCGTTTGACTTGTCTTTTCACTGCCTCCCTGTAGCACGACTTCGTGGCGAACCCCAACCTCTCGATCAACTCGACTCGTGACCTGCTCTACCTCAAGCGCACCATGGAGGCCCGCGAGAAGGCCGCGCTTGCCGCCTCTCCCTCCAGCGCAGCCAACTTCCTCAAGGCCGCTGTGAAGCCGGAGCAGCCTCTGGCCGCTCCTCCCATTCCCCAGAAGTCCTCCAACCTCGCCGCCGAACAGCCGATTCGGCCGGTTTCGGTTAATCGTGAGCGTCCGCGCTCCCTCCGCTTGGGTCATGGCCACGACAAAAATGGCGCGTCCGGTGGAACCCCTGACATCGTCGATCAGGTACCCACGTGTGTGTTGTGAAACGGTTTGGCAAGTCGCGATTCACTACGCCTTCGTTTTTGTTGACAAACAATTCTTGTAGCCAAGGTTTCAAAACATCCAGGCAATGTAAAACCGACGGACCTAAGTTTTGAGGATGCGGCAGGGCGTGTTGTCGTTATCGTGTTCAAGAAGAAATACACCGTCGACTGGGTCTCGTGATGATTTATCACAGACCGTGTCAGTTAGAAGTATTGAATAGGTGTGTTGTGGGCATCAGCATGTGGTCTTGAACCACGTCGGGGCCACGGAATTAACCCTGGCCCGATTACGTTTCCCTGATGCCCGCGATGAGGAAAAAGACCGGAGAGGACATGGCCACAACCGTTGGTGTCGTTATGTCGTGTGTGGGGTTTGTGTGTGTGCATTTATACCTCGGATGTGTGATGCTTAATCACAGACCGTGTCGGTTAGAAGTACTGAAACTGTGTTTTTGAGGGGGACGTATCAAATTAAAACAGTTGCTTTCCAGCAAAATGTCGCTGCTAAACAAAGTGGACTTTGTGTGATGTCGATTTGCCCTCTTGTCACTTCTGTTTTACTTACAACGGACGCATCACTACTTGCCTATTGCAAATCCCGCAATGCATTTGTAACTACGCTTGTTCCTGTGCGTTGGTTCGCGGCGCGTAGACTTACCGGGAACTGTGTGTACGTAAAGTCGTCGACGCTACATACATGTTTCCATGGGCACGAAATCTTGTCCGAATTGGTTCAGACTCTTATTCGACACTGTAGTGGATCTCTGTGTCGAGGCAGGATTTTTGGAGTATGGGGATCTTGTACTAGTTGAATTCTGCGCGCGGTCGAAACTAAGCGACGCAAGAACTGACAACAAAGCCTGAGGCACGCATTTCTTCAGACAAGTTGCCAATGGAGTTGTGAAGGGGATCCAATTCAGCACTAGAATCTAGTAGACATCCCAGTCACTGGAAGATTGGAATTACGTGGCCGCTCTCTCTCGTTCTTTTGCAGTTCATGCGAGCTCCGGGCATGGCAGGTAACAACCTCTACCAAGCGGACAGCTGTGAAACGCCCCCGCCTCAACCTCCAAAGCCCACCAAGTCACACGCTCCTCCCCCTCAAACGGGTAACGGTGAGGGCGAAGTCGAGTCAGGACCGCGTCTCCGCATCTCCTCTCTGCGTCGGCCTATCGAGGCCACCGGTGCTGCCTCCTCCTCCTCCGCCTCCCAGAACCAACCAATCACCGCTGCCGGCTGGCCTCCCGGTGACCATCGACCCCTCCCGGAGCACTGCCTCGACGAGAGCAACGAGGTTCGTTTGACGAACCTCGGCTTCCACTGTTTTCCCGATGTTGTGGCACCAGAACGCACGACTGTTCATTTTTTCACGTTCGAGTAAAATCCCCTCATATTCCGGGAGCAGAACCACGAATCTCCCCAAACGCCGCCTGGGTCACCCCGCGTTGCTTATCGATTTTCTGTTGTAGGATCTCGTCGCCGAAGTCCTCGACGAATACGAAAAACGACAGAGCAAATTATTCTCGCCGTACGACGGATTGGTGTGAGTGGCCTGATTTTACGAGGCTTGTTTTTTTTATGGCTCAATCGTTTTGAGTTTCTGTGGTTGGTCGAAGTCGTCCACTTGAAAAGAGTTTTTTTCACGTACTAGCTCAAATTTTCACTCCAAATGTTCTCCAGACACAGGCATTTCCGTGTTCGATGCATCATGACTGTTTCAGTCATTTCAGTGTTTAGGACGCATTAATCGCATTTACCTTACCGCGATCTGATTAAGCTGTGGCTTCGGTGTGTTTCTGAGTAAAAGAACACCACACACGAAGCCTTTTAAACCAACTGTACGGGTTCCGTTAAGAGGCCTACACCTGGCACTTCACGTGCCTCTCCTTTTCAACTCACACTGCTATTGATTTGTGTAAAGCCAGGTTCAAGAGCTCCATTAGTGGGTGCTCTGAACAAGATCACCTGGGTTCCGCAGTCGTGTCGATGAATTCACCTATCTTAACGGCCTGTTTAAGTGACACTGAGAAGAAGGCGGTTTCCCTTGGCAACGCACGACGCCCCCACTCGTTTCACCAGTTCCACGGGTGTTTTGGTGCTCTGAGAGAGAGAGTCACTGACGAAGTTCTTCTCGGTGTTACGTGGTGGTGGGCTCGTGTTGCCATCGATGCCTTACTCCCAGCTGTTCTGTACGACGTTTCATACACAGTAATGTGCGTGCGTGTGCCCTGCTGTTTCAACTCCCACGACACACAGCCTCCACGGCATTGTGTTTCGCTACATGATAAGTATCTTGAGTCGGTGATAGCGTGTTCACAGGGGTCGTATTTCCGTAGTACTGCTGTGAGTGGCCCGCGGTGGTCAATAAAGTGTACCAAAGTCGTTCTCCCAAACCATGGCACCAGTTGATTGTGAACTTGACGTTAGTCTCCGCCTGCAAGCCCTGATAACCGTGGTTATTTTGTGTTTTTAGCGATCCCGACGTCGAAACCGTGGAAATTCCTGGCAGACTGAGCTTCTACGAGTCCGAGGCATTTGACGACAGCGACGATTTTGGTGGAGTGAGTTTCACAAGGCACAAGTACTTCCCTTGTTACCACGTTGACGATCAAAGCAAACCGTAAAATTGTACCCAAGTGCCTCTAGGACACCCACACAATCGTCAGTCCAGATGTGATTGGCTAAATTACCACGAAACCTGTGTGTGTGTCTTTGGATTGCCAACCGACACGCCATGTAGAACTAACACCTAAACCACGGTAGCGAGAGTACAAATGTGTAGAGGAGTGTGAATTTGAGTCAATTTTTTAAAGTGATGTGATGGAATCTCAACTGATGTGGAGGCTTACTAGGTATGTCGAAGTACATAGGGGTAATCCGTCGTGGCAAAGGCTAATCGTTTTTAATTGGATATCAACCAATAACTTGGTCGCTTAAATGGACCAATCCTGTTCCACGTGGTACAATTGACGGGTCAGTTTTGTGAATCTTCGAGGTCATTATCACCGATTCCGTATCACGCCAATACTGATCACAGCATAGTTGGTTTGGTTCCCCATTGTGTAGCACCTGCGCCACATAGTTGATGTGTCATTTGACTATAAACCGAATTGCTGTGCAACTTCATCTAATTTGTGTGTGTGTGTGTGTGTGTGTGTGTGTGGAATTCGTTGTTGATTGGCCTCCTAGGGGCCAATGACCTCGCTTGATTGTACAATAACCAATCTCCTTGTTCCATCCCTGCATTATAGCACGTTTTTGTTTAAAGTGGTAACATCGGGTAACCGTGCATTTAGCAGACCTCAATAATTCGTTCACATGTTATCCCTCAGCATGTAAAAAACGTGACCAATTCAGTGTTTTTTTAAGGGGGGGCGCGTATTTTCACATAAAACCAATTTCCTTAATTGTGCAGCCGACTTTAGCCGACACCGAAAAGTCGTCCTGATATAATCTCAGGTGGATGCTGTGCTTAAGGCCTCCAATTCTAGTCATTATCACAAGTGCTTATCTCTCAGTATCAAAAACGCGGCTTATTCTGTGCGTTTTTTCACATAAAACCAATTTCTTTGATCTCTAGCACAAGGACTTGAGCACGTAGTTGGTTCACTGCTTTTTTGTTACACTGAAATGGCGTTGGTTGTGGGTCTGCGATTCATTAACTGCTTCGTACCAGCGATCCAATTTTAGCCACAATCTGCGGTCGACATCTAGCCACGTTTTTTAAGCAAGATTTTCATCGGCACGTGGTAGTTTTTATAAGTCGACAATTTCTGCGGGATTAATCAAGTTCCTGTGGGTTCACAACTGAGCCTTCTTACACGGGACCTGAAATACCACGTCAGTCATAATTTCGGTTGTGTGTGTGTGTGTGCATTTAAACGGCTTCCTTTGCGTCCACATGTTAATTTTATTCGAAAATCGCTCATTTAATATTCTATGGAAATGGGTTGGTCGTTTAAGTGTGACATTTATCCGGGTACTGGCAATTTTGTGCGAAATTGCCGTCCTCACGTGGAAGTGATTAATTTTGTGTGCACACACACACGCACACACATTGAAACCCTCGAGAATTCTGGGCAAAACGACGCAGCCATTAATTACACAATGCCCAAAAAAGAAATTCCTTTCGACACATTCTTGCCCTAACCGTGTGTGTTCGCTTCCGCCGAATTTGATTGGTTGCCGGGGTGAGAGGCTGTACGAATGAGCGCCCACTCAAGCCTGATTGGTCAATTTGTGTCTGCTTTCAGCCAAAAGGTCTACTGGGGTCTCCTCGAGGCGGCGATGCACTGCGGATGCGATCGAAGCGTCAGGCCCCAGCCCCTCCGCCTCCACTTCCTCCCAAGGGCGAGGGACTCAAGTCGGCGACCCGTCAGTCGTCTGCCACGGCGCCTGGACCCATCTCAGCGCTGGACCCGCAGTCGCTGCAGCCGGACGTTGTGGCGGCGGCGGCGGCTGGCAACGACAGACACTCGAGTGACTCGGAGTACCGCAAGACCACAGCAGTCCCGCCACCCCGACCTCCGCCGCCTCGACTTGACTCAGAGGGTGTCCTGCGACACGCTGAGCTCCAACACCAGATGGAACGGGGTCTGGGTCTACCCCCAACCCCTAAGGTTCTCGTAAGGCATCGCTCCTTTGTCGTTAGCATCACCCAACTGCGGCTTTTTGTCTCACTGAATGCCTTTTTTTAACCTGCCTAGATGGGCGCCTGCTTTACGCTCATCTTTGAGGGGTGTCCACTGAAGGTCAACGCCACCGCCACCTGGGTCAATCCGATCACCAAAGGTATGTTTTCACCTCTGGCCGCTCGGCTTTTGCTGGAAAATGCTCTCGATTTGCTAGATTTTTGGCAGTTTTCCGATCACTACAACGGTGTCCAAAGGTCCCGCTTGTTCCCTGCAAGTTATGGTGGTGGTGTTTTCAGTGACCACAAATGCGCGTGATTCGAAGTGTTCAAATATCGCGTAGCGTGGTTGTCTTTGTCTAAAGCTCTTTTAAAATTTCTTGTAATTAGTGCAGAAAACGGAAACAAGACGGACGCTGGTTCGGTTAATGTTCCACTTACTACCTGCGGTTTTTTCTTGTAGCTCAAATGATCATTTTCGGCACCAATGATGGCATTTATTACCTCAATTTGCAAGAACTCGCTGATGCAACACTCGAGCTTGTAGGTCATTTTTTACTTAGCGGTCTGATTCGTTAGCCGATTATTGATTGATATTGGTTTTGAAGTCTCCCGTGTGCTTCTTATCCGCAAGACCACTTAGCAGATCGATTATCGATTGGAATTGGTTTTAAGACGTCTCGTGCGACACCCAGAGCTCTTGAGGTCATCCGCCTGTTTGTCTTTTCCAGATGATTCCTCGACGGTGCATTTGGCTGACGGTGTTTCGCGACACGATGATGTCGCTCTCGGGCAACACGCCGCACCTCTACGGCCACAACCTCGTCAACATCATGAAGGCCAAGACGAGCCAGGACCCGGCCACGGGCAATCTAACCGGTCGACTCTCAACTCGCCTCTTGCCCAAGTGCGTTGGCCATCACTGGCGCGGTTGTGTCCACATCTAGCCTCTTAGAGCAACTTCTCTCATGTTCTCTTCGCTTTCCTTGCAGACGTTTCCAGCCCACCGTCAAGATTCCCAACACGCGTGGCTGCTACATGGCCAGTGTGGTGCGCAATCCCAGCAACGGCAACAAGTACCTCTGCGCTGTCATCGACAAGTCCATCCTCGTCATGGAGTGGTTCAATCCGCGTAGCACCTTCGTCGAGGTTAAACGCGTAAGTGTGTGTGTGACCTTCAGAGCTCACCATTCCTGTGTTGTGTGTTGTTGATGGTGGAGGCTTGTCTCTCTTTCTCTCTTCAGGTCGAGGTGCCGTCGATGCCGTCGCCGGTCTACAACTTCGACTTGGTCTGCAGTCGGGACCAGAGCCTCCCCACGGTGTGCCTCGGCGTCTACAAGACCTCCGACCCCAACCGATTTCGCCTCCACATGGTCGACTTGAACAACGACGATTTCACCATACCACCCTTTCCGCTCCACCGTAAGCACACTTTCTTGATTGGGTGCGTGTGTGTGTGTGTCTGAGTCCCACAGATCCCATGCCCAACACCGAATCTGATGGCCGAGTCTGGTGAACATCCCATCCAGATTCAAGATCGTCTTCTGAGTCGCGCGAGCAACGTGAAGTGGTCAAGTGTTGTCATGCAGCAGCAGCAGCAGCAGCAGTATGACTTGCCAGCTTCCTTGCCAAGTAAATGGCCTCTTCGCTCAGTTTGTTCGATTTTCGGCTGCAGCGTTGCACAGTCACCTTCTGACGACCAGTTTCCAGTACTGAAGTGCACCCTTCGTGTCCCACTAGATACACAGGAGAGCCTTCCTCAAGTGGATGTCCTGTTTCGACGTCGATGTACAGGGTTGCCTGGGATCTACCCACGACTGTCAACGGTTGGGATTCTCGTCAGACGTATACTTTTAATCAACAGTCACAATCTGCCACAGGAAGTTCTTCCACTGGTTGTTGCTGGCGGGCAAGCTGTGAGAGGCATGTGTTCACAGGTTGTGTTCGGTGAACACTCATGAGGGGATCCAACTTCCAAGTTGTTGAATTTCCCCATTTGGTGCTAACGCCTGGAAGTAGCTGTTTGGGTGTCCCCAAACTGGGCTGCTGCTGCTTCTGCAGGCTCTTGGTGCGTTTGCGTTGAATCCTCATCCAGCAGAGTTAGCAATTTCGAGGCAGTTGGCGTCGCTTTTAGTCACTAAGATCGGAATTACCACCTCTAAAACGTTCGTACCTTTGATTGCACGTTTCACCGAAGACACGACGTCGGCACCAAGAACGCTACAAGTTGGTTGTCGTGCTGTAGAAGCATGTATTCTTTGATGGAATTTATGCTAATTGCAGTGTCGTCGTTGAATGTGGTGTTTGTCAGTTGGCATGGTAATGTCAGCTACTGTGAGAGATGATGTAACTGACGTAGAATCCGTCGTTCGGTGTTGCGAAAGCTTGCATCCGATCCTTTCAAAACGTCAAAACACTGCTAAAATATTATTGGAAGGTAAAATCTGCACAAACTAAGTCAAACATCAATAAATGGTCTGCACTTAGCCGTTTTTTCACCGTCTTTCAGCCGAAGACTACCTCCCCATTGTCAAGGTTGCACACGTTGACTACAGCGTCCTGATGATCTGTTTCCAAGATCACGCCAAGTTTGTCGATTTCCGTGGACACGTCTGCAACAATCGGCAACGCGTGTCACAGATCTCATTCGACACGAACGTGGCCTCCGTAGGTGAGTGGTCTTTTTTTACCCAAGAACGCCACCACACACTTCTTCCAACGCACGTCCCCCAGTCGATTTCCAGGACAGCTTGTCTCTCAAACACCTCTCAAGACTTTTATCATGACAGTCCCATGGAACTGTTTGTGGAGGTGTGGTGGAGGGTGTGGCAGGATCTTCGAATTGACCGTTTGCATAGACTTTTGTCGTTGAATGCTTGTCGACATTGACAAATGCTTGAGTCACTGTGCTGGCTTCAGCTGCAATGTCGTTATTAGCAATCGATAGTACCACGTGTCTAGCGGTTTTTTGACTGAAGTTGACATTTTGACACCTAGAAGTCTAGACAATTGTCGAACCGATTCACACCGATGTAGGGGAACCTTGCTTCATTCTGATTGGTTAGAGTGTGTGGTGCGCTGAAGGTGTACTCTTCCCCTCCGTTGTAGTTTGCCTTCGCGACGGAATCCTCGCCTTCCACCCGTTCGGTCTGCGCGGTTTCGGGTTCGACGGACAGGTGAGGTTTATTAGTTTTTTTTCCGCGGCGACACGATGCACTGAACCCACTGACCTCGTCTGTTTCTTGATTTTAATCAGCTCACGCAGGATATCAACGATCCGCAGCACATCTACCAGCTCCTGGGAAGTGACAGGTGCGTTACAAATCTTGTAGCTCATGGGAGTTGTGTCTTTAAAGCGCTACGCACGCACACACACACAATAACTGTGCAGTGAGTCGGAATGCGTACAATTTATCCTTTTCTCACTCACTCTCTCTCTCTCGCTCCTTGCAGAAACATCGTGGTGGAGAGTCGGCCCATTGACGATCCGATGTCCAAGTCGAACCTGTACCTCCTATTCGGCCACGAGAACTCCTACTGATTGTGTGCTTTATTTTGCTTCTCTCTGTCTCTCTCTCTTTTTTGTACAATCGCGTCCATCCTACAGCTGCCTCCGCCCCTCTGAACATTTGTCTTTCCTACTACTTTTACTTTCACCAAATGCATCAGCATAAATTGTGTAAATGTAGTCACCATTTTGGGTTTACGAGAACTCTCGCGCGCACACACAAACACACTCGGTAATCGCGGCCCTAATCCTCTCATGTCCTGAATTTTTTTATCTTTGCTTCTCTACTGTAAATACAGCGGATTTAATGCACACCTGTGAGATAACTACTTGTTTGATTCAACTTCGCTCAAGGTCACGCGTCACCAAAGTCCTGCCATTGGCTGGGGTGCACAGGCCACGTGTCGCCACGTTAAGTTCGCCAATCAAATTGTTGGCGTGTGTGTGAGTTCATCGATTTCCTGAGTAGTTCATTGACAGATCAACGAAGCCTCGTTTTCAATTGTGATCCAACGACCTAGAAGTTGTCCATCACATGCAGTGACTGAGGCTCGTGTGTTCACAATAGCCACAGTGAGAAACTCGAGACTGTTTACATGAAGTAATGTGAAGTGTTTGGAAGGCAAAAAATTCCATGCTGGCATTCCTCAGCGTTTGGTTTGTTTGCTACATGCCATTCAAGGTCACTCAAGACGATGTGTTTGTACTATTGTGGCTGTGCACGTCCGTGGCAATCTGGCTCACCAGGCGAGTTCATCGATCTATTTAAGGCTTCTTTCGGTGGTTAACCGTGACTTGAGAAAGAGTACCGTCAGTGTTTCTGGTGCCGCCACAATCGGTTGATCTCATGGAGAGAACCTTATACAAGCTCAGCCAATCGCACAGGCCTTGAGGGAAATTAACAGCCAATAAGATTGTTGGTGAGCCTGACAGCCAATGAAATCGATCGAGCAGTCTTATTAACGGGATTGGCGCTGAAGTGAAAATTAGACAGCATTATGTACTTTTAGTGTAATCTTCAAATCAATATTTAGCAATTAATTATTGTCCATGGTTGGGGTGCTTTGAAATCATTTCCTTCTATTTAAAGCGCTGAGATGTTTGCTTGGGAGTCTTTGCTCTTTAAATCGATAATTTTGTTAGCGCTATAACAAAAAACATGCTGGTGCGGGATTTTTGAATTGGATAGTTTCACCATGGAGATTCGGCGTCACGACAATTACGAAGTGGTGTCGTAGTGGAATGAAAATAATGCCAAAAATTGAACACAAAGTAGAGGCTATTTCGGGGATTCATTCTAATTATTGACCACTTTGTCGCAGTTAATGCCTCCTATATTCATTGTCGTTGGTGGGTTCAACTCATCACGATCTAATTAATTTTTTCTAACGATCGACAAATGCGATATCCATGTCCTCTCGAATTCATTAAATTGTCATCCACTACCTACTCTTTGCGCTTTTCAGTAGTAGATTGGAATCGTTGTCTACAAAAAAGCGGTGTTTGAAAAAAAACAAATGCCATCTATCGACGTTGCATATTTGTCCCACTCACAGCCTTAGTAATTTGTGGATTCAAACTTCATCAGTTCCTTTTGGGAACGCCAGAAACGAATCTCAATTTTTTGTGATTATAGAGGGAATCACATCTATTTTTTGAGGCGAAGGAGGTTACAGGATGGTGGTAGTAGACCAGAAGATTTTTGGTGATCTCGATTGTAACGAGATCTATATGTGAGTGTAATAAAGAATTTCATCAGTTAAAAGTATGCATATGAAGCATTAATTGCACCGCGCGCCTGTTGATCGGTTTCGATATTGCGCCGATTCTCTATTTTGATTCAAATTAGGCGAAACCACTGAAATTGCAGACACGTAAGGCAAACTGCCAGTTTACAGTTGCTAAGAGGTTTATACAATGGATATAAGAAAGGATTGCGCCTTTTGCATCCAACAAACTGAATTGTTTGATTGTAAATGAACTGAAGGACATGAGACAGCAAGTGACGGTATTGGGTTAAAAAATCAGCCCTTTGCTCAGTAATCGATGCCTCTCTGTTTAGACTGACATATGGATAGTTGCAATTAAACAGAATTCATTTAAACAGCTAAGGGACATTTTTCGCTTCCCCAAAGTAACAATAAACAGTAAAAGAACCAAAATCATATTTTGACTCTGACGAGAATTGAAGTCATATGTTAGTATAGTCCTTAAAACAGTGCAACCAAAGTGCTGCTAGCAATTTTTATATTTTTGTTCAAAAAAGTACCGAGTTATGAAAGAGACTTTAAGCGCACAAAGGTCAGTATTATAGATGTCGATATTGCATGAAAACATAATATTTGTGGCGCGTATTTAAACCCAGCATCAAGTTTATTAGTTATGACGGAAAAGTCCGATCAATCTTTGCCTATCTTATGCCCATTCCAAAACTGAAATTTTAAAGATTATTAATATATTTTTTTAAGTAACTCCATTGTGTAGCAAATTTCGCCTAAACTAGTAGCATTTAACATTAGTTCAGGTCGTCGAAGATAAAGAAAAATATTCTCAAAGTCATTTAACCTAAATACATTTACCGGTAAAGAAAACATGAACCACCATTTTGCCAGATATTCATGTAAAAGAATGATATTTAAAAAAAGTTAACTAGCATCCTAAACAAAAGAAAACTTCTATGATACATATTGCATTCCACAAAGTCTGAAGGGTTGTCACTGCTAAAGCAATTCTTTAAATAACATGGATAAAAATAATTACAGTGCCTAGCAATCTGCGTAAATAGTACTACGTCATTAAGAAAGCAGTTTATCTTACAGAGTATTTTCCACTTCCCATTATTTATTAATGAAATATAAAATGCAACGAACAAATGTTGTCATTAAGTAGTGAGTTCATTCTTAAGATCTGATCATTTATTTAAAAAGCAGGCAGAAAATTTTGCAGTTCGAGACTTTTTTAATCCAAAGACCAGTAAACGCTATCTTTTTGGTTGCAGAAAAAAATATCAGTCATGAAAATTAAATTGCAATATAATGTCATTACAGAAAACAATTTGGGATAGCTCAACGACTAATGTTAAAATAAATATTGGAATATATATTTCAAATCCTTTATGACAATGCAATATTTGGGGTGGAGGCAACACTGTAAAAAATTTCATAACCACAGTGTGCAAGCATTTTTGTACATTTAATGCAACAATTATCGCAAATGACCTTTTAGGGTACTGGGCCGAGTAAATCTCCTAGGTTGCGAAACTTTTGCTAATACAAGATAGTAAATCGACGTAGGACAAATGTTATTTTTGATTATTACACCAGGCTAGAATTAATGGCAAAATGCCATACTCTGCAGTTGAATCTTCGCACACAAAACGCAAGTTAATCGATGTGCTGAGCGGTAACACATTTAATTTGACTCTTATTTTGGCGATTAATCATAAGGGTGTCGCTAAATGGTTAATTTCAAGGTTATCAATGTTACCCCGTTCGATACATGGCAATTTCAGCCAGTTTTGCTTGATTTGAGTGCGTGCCTATGGCAGTGGAAGTAGCAGCAGAAGCGGAAGATTACAAAGCTAAAGCGAACGAGTGCTTTACAAGTATTTTCGCACTATGTTTATAATCAATCTACAGGTGGAAAGTATTCCGATGCTATTGACTACTACACCAAAGCCATAAATTTGCGAGAAACTGCAATTTATTATGCTAATCGCAGTTTCGCGTACCTAAAAACAGAACTTTTCGGAGCAGCTGCCGAAGATGCCTCAAAGTCTATTGAGTTGGATGGCAATTACATCAAAGTTACTTCATAGTTTGAGTGTATTTAAATATATTAGGGTTATTACAGGAGGGCCTCGGCCAATATGGCAATGGGACATTATGATCTCGCTTTGAAGGACTTTGACACGGTGCGCGAATTCATTATTAGTGTCTTTGTGCTTTTGTCGCTTTATTTCCCTTTGTTTTTGTTTGAACTCCAGTTACTTCCTCGTTCCTGGACGTTTAAATGGTGATTTTTTGCCGCGATAACCGTGGCACTTTTAGTCAAGCAACCACTGTCTTCAAGAGAATCTGCCTATTTTTGGGTTTCGTCACCATGTAAATAGTTAATAGACCCGAAAATTCAAATGAGTCCTCGTTCATTTTTAAACTTCCAGTTATGCTAGCCAGATTTTTTATACAATATTTGGTTTCCCATGGAGAATTTTAAAATAATCCCGTTTCAACCCGTTTTGACGTGGGGATCTTGTGGGTGAGATGGATTCAAGTTTAGATAACAACACAAACACTGTAGTTGACAACTCTTTGTGGATTTTTACAATACCCTAAATGCTCATGCAAAAGATATTCATTTTAGGTAGTGAAGAAGCATCCAGATAACAAGGAAGCTCGCAAAAAGTACATTGAATGTCTCAAACAGGCACGACTGCGGGCATTTGCACGCGCGATTGCACATGACGAGAAAAAGTCCCCACTTGAGACGTTTGATCCCTCGCAAGTATCTATTGATTCCTCCTATACGGGGCCCCATATGTCTCAAGATGAAGACGGCACTTATGTCGTGACAATTGACTTTATGAAACAACTGCTAGAGACCTTTAAAGCTCAGAAGAAACTTCATCGGAAATATGCCATGATTGTAAGTTTTGGTCGGTCTGTGCACTTTTACATTTGTCAATCGTTAAATCCCACGTATTCTAACAGAAGCTTGAATTCATCTTTTGTGTGTTTAATTTTTTTAGCTAATCCGCAGATTCTACGATTACGTTCGTGCTCTCCCAAGCCTTGTGGATATAACTGTTCCTGATGTGGGTTGCCGTTTAACGTAATTAGTCATTTTCCTGTACGCAGGGTGCCAAATTCACCGTTTGTGGTGACATCCACGGACAATTCTATGACCTTTTGAACATCTTCGAACTCAATGGGTTGCCGTCAGAAGAGAACCCCTATGTAAGGGAGTGTTGCCTCAGTTTTAGTAATTGCCGCCTCGTTTAGCTTTTCAATGGTGACTTCGTTGATCGAGGGTCATTCTCAGTCGAGTGCATTTTTACTCTGATCGGTTTCAAACTCCTCTACCCCAACCACTTCTACATGTCTCGAGGTACGTGTCTTTTTGCCTGCTTGGCATTTTGGTAAAATTCATTCCTGTCGCGCTATTATTAGTTACCATACGCCCCATAGGAGCTTGCTCGACACTTGTGTGCTAAGTCATAAGAAGCTGGCTTTATGACAGAAATTTCCCTTTTTCTTCCCGAGCCTTGGTTGACGAGCTGTTCATCATTCGTGATCTTTTCGGCACTGATTCAGTAGCCGAAATTTAGTATTACTAGGACACCTTTTTATTGCACCTGTGTAATTTTGCGAATCTTTTGCAGGCAACCACGAATCAGAGAACATGAACCAAATGTACGGTTTTGAGGGCGAGGTGAAGTTCAAGTACAACGCCGAGATGGCCGAGATCTTCACTGAAGTTTTCAATTGGCTGCCACTGTCCCACCTCATCAACGAACGAATTCTAGTAATGCGTAGTACCTGTTACCTGATTCTTTTCTTTTCCTAAACTTACACGATGCGTGTGCAGGTTCACAGGTTCGAGTGCATGAATCTAAATTGTGTCCCTATTTTTTTGGTCAAAAAAAACCAAACTAGGTTATGCACGGTGGCCTGTTCAGTTCGGACGACGTGTCGCTGGACGATCTGCGCACGATTTCCCGGAACCGTCAGCCCCCAGACAGTGGTCTGATGTGTGAGTTGCTGTGGTCCGATCCGATGGAGGCCTGTGGACGCGCGCCGTCGAAGCGTGGCGTCGGTTGCCAATTCGGTCCGGACGTCACGCTGGCCTTTTGTCAGCGCAACAACCTCGATTTCATCATCCGCAGTCACGAGGTAGGCATCCGCTGTTTTGGCCGTGATCACGTGGACCGACTTGTTTGGATGGATTTTTGTTTGTTCTAGGTGAAGGACGAGGGCTACGAGGTGGCGCACAATAATCGCTGTGTGACGGTATTCTCCGCGCCCAACTACTGCGACACCATGCAGAACCGTGGGGCGTTTATAACGCTGCGCGGGTCCCACAAACCCGGTGCTATGAAGCCCAACTTCACCAGTTTCAAGGAGGTGCCACACCCGAAGGTGCGTCCAATGGCCTACGCCAACTCTCTGCTGTCCTTCCTGCCGTAGAAGGCGCGCGCCGTCTCATCCCACATACACACGCGGATTCACACACACACATACGCCGTCGTCGTCGCTCCTGTACATACGCGAACTCACATTCGGCAGCTGCCTGTCGCTCCAGTAAACTGATTCAAATGGTGCTTTATGGTGTGGTGCTATTGGTGCGAATGGATGGCCTTGCAGAGCTAGGTGGTTTAGCTGAAGTGGGACACTCTTTGAACATTATCACATTTAGTAACGGCGAAAAGTCTAGATTTCCGATATCGACTGCGTTGGGCATTTATAAGCAGTCCTGGGGGAAATCCAGCTTGATTATTAGGCCGGAAGTCGTCTTATCTAAGTGTAGAGGCTTGCGATGGTCAAGTCTTGCAATCGCTGCGTTATCCAAGCACTGTCGTAGGATAATTGGTTTTATTAGGAGGGGAAAAGCAAAGAGACTAACGGGAAGAGGACGTGAGTACAACATATTCGGGTATTCGTTGTTTAATGCCCCAATTAATTAATGTTCCTGTAAATGCTGGACGTGCGATACTGACCTTCACATGTATTCTAAAAACCAATATCACACCATCATCATCATCATTAACAAGTGTTTTAAGCCTACGTCATTCCCTGAAGAACCGACAAGAGTCATTCGTAGTAAAGCAAAATTACTGTAATAGATAAAAAGCAGTGCATATACACACATTTTCCAAAATACTAAGACGCGACATGATTGGTAATAAGAAACGGAATAAGGAAGATAACACAGTGCTCCTAAACGCTCAAATAGCCCGGGCTGTCGCTCGTCTTGTAGCAGCCTAAAATTTGAAAGAAAAACACGTGACGGCTTGCAATCGACGCTAAATTGGGTGAGAACGGTGTGTACTTGCAACAGCAAGAACAGAAAGACGTAGTTGCAAAAATGGTACCTGTGCAGCGGACAGGTCAGCAACGACGCCTGCAGGCAGAGCGCCAGCTCCCAGTAGGGTCTTGGCCGCCACCACGAGATCGTCGACGCGCGTAGAAGTAGTGGAAGCTGCATCACCACCAATGAGTACGATTTCGCCGGTTCGTGCAAGCGGCGCGGCAACTTCGGCGGCCAGTTCGGGCAGGGCGTTGAGGACGAGGGACAACTTGGCCGCATCGCTGAACTGCCCAAAGGCTGCCGCCATTTGAACAAGACCGTCGGCTTCAGCTGCGCCAAGGGCCTCCACGGCTGTCGCGTTGGCTGCGCCCACGAGTCGAATTCCACCGGCAGAAGCTGTGGCCTCCATTATCTTCGTCGTTCTAGAAGGCGAGGGGAAATTGTCGTGCCGGTGTTAGCAGAAGCAAGTTAATGCAGTGCGTGACTACCTCTGGCCCTCAGCAATTGTCTGTGTGCGATAGGCCTCAGCTTCCGCGGGAATGCGGACACTGCACTCGAGGGATTTTTCGTTCCGCGTGATTTCCTGCTGCTCAATTTCGATTTGTTTTCGACGCTCAACCAATTGGATGCCAAGCTCCTCGTTCTTGATTTGCTGCTGCTCCTTTGCGGCCTGACGGAATGAAAACACGAGTCAAGTGTACCAGTGGACTCATCGAGAGAGTTACATCCACAAAAAAGTCATTGGAGTCAATTGCAGATAATATCTGAGAGAACAAGGCACAAACGACCTGTTTCACAACAAAGCCACTACAAAGGTTAGCAGGCGAAATCGACAAGTTGTCTCGGAAATGCTATGAAACTCCACAAATTAGTGACAACAAACACAGACTATAACCAGGTACCTTGCATCAGCCTTTTAGTAAACAACCTAACCCATCAAAACGTAGGAAATAAGGCTATAACCAATTAGAAGGTCGAGCGAATGAGCGAAAGGGAATGTGGACTATTTCCCCATGTGAGGAGAAGACAAATCACTGATTAGCCGACTGAGAACACACAAAAGTGCGCTTACCTGAAGCTCGTAAGCAAGTTCAGCTTCGGCTTTGGCGACATTCACCTCCTGATCGTATTCCGTCTGCAGCATCTCAAAACGAAGTTTAGAATCAGCAATTGAACCGTCGGCATTGCAGCGTTCATCAACCAGTTGCTTTTCAAACTCTGCTTCCTAGCAGAACACAAGAAAATGCGAGAGCTAGGGACCGAAGGCACAAAAATGCGAGAACAGTTGGAATGTGAAAGCACACCTTAATTCCGGCGTCGCGTTCAGCCTCAGCCACTCCGATTTGCGCGCTGCTCTTGATGAGGGCAATTTGACCACGCCCGAGGGAGTCCAGATACTGTACCCGATCAAAGACGTCCTTAATTGTGAAGGAGAGGATCTCGATACCCATGTGCGCTACATCTGGCTCGGCTACTTCACGCACCAAACGAGCAAAGCTGTCACGATCCTAGTGAGAGAGTAACAGGATTTAGATTGGCGCTGAATGCAGAGTAAGGGATGATGCAAATTAGTGGATCATAGGTAACGTACACTATAAATTGCCTCAACAGAGAGGGTACCCAAAATCGAACGAAGATGACCCTCCAAAGTGTGCAAGATCGTCAATTTGACATCATCGACATCTCGCCCAAGAAACTGTTCACAAGCAGCCATCAGTAGCTCATTATTTTGTACCACTTTAACTTGGGCAACACCTTATGAATATAAAAATAACAGGCTTTTAAAGAAAGTAAAATCCACAAAAAGACTGGCTGCTAAATCAACAAAAAAAACACAATCCACACTAAAAAGGCAAAAAAATCTCGTTTCTGGCCGAAATGGGAATAACACCAATAAGAAAAGAAGAAGCGTTTAACAATTACTTTTCGACGCTTAGTGAATACACATGAAGAAATCAATTAAGCATTTTAACTTACCAGTAACAGTCACTGCAACACCTTCAACAGTTTCAACATCTTCACACCGAGGATTCAGTGTCATCACAGCCAATGAAAGTCTAAAAATGTTGTTTAATAGATGTTTAATACCTCTGAACATCAGTGAGACACCACCATGACCAGCCCCATCCGCCAACAACGACTTTGACATTCGATGAACCAAAACAGCCACCTGAAATGCAGAAATATACAGAAACAGTTGTCTTCTCACAATAAACTAAGAGAGTCAGAAAAAATCAGTGCAGAAATAAGTCAAGAAAGTGGTTAGGAAAATGATGAGTTGAATACTCCTTACAGTACCAGATAGCACAAGAGCTTCGTTCGGCCCCGAAGTCTCAATGTTCCCCATCAGATGCGTGGGCTGAAGACGAGCACAAAATATGTTAAACGGATGCTTACAGAATAAAAAGCATATAAATTATAGTAAAACTCATTAAAATGTGACAAAACGTACAATCCCCTTGCGAACGCACCTTTGTTGTGTGTGGTGTTGTGTGGCGTCGGATTAGGGCGCAGACATATTGGACCACCTGGCCGCAGCCAATCCTGTGTCTCTCTGCAATCCAATGGC